TTACCGTTATATATATATATATATATATATATATATATATATATATATATATATATATATATAGTTTTTAGAAGAGTATATAAAACGGGATGGAACGGTACACTTGTATGTTATCCCGGTAATGTCCCACTTAAAATTGGGACAGAACGGGTTCGGGACAAAAAAATTGAATCCAAAAAAAGGTACAATTTCAAAACGATTCCGGTAAGTTTCGGAATGGTTCAATGGGAACGGTTTTCGTGCCCACCCCTATTCAATTTAATTGAATGTCAATTTTTGGAACAATGTGCGGCCGTGCGGGTAAGATTATACTCACTCTCTTCAAATAATTTTATCAAATACCGAGTATTTTATAATTGGTATTTTTTAACCAAAAAATTTCTATATTTATCGTTCTATTTTTTCAAATCCTTTTTCTTATGGGTTACTTTTTCATCAATATTTCATTTTTTGACTTTTTGGTCAAATTGATGTTAAATTGAGGGTTATAGTATAAGTGGGGAGGGTTCCCAAACATTGGAACTTCATATTATGGGATGACTTGGAGCCGTTATGGTGACTCATTCGTAAAATTAATGGTTCATACAATCATACACGCCTAATGCCCCCTCCTCCTGAGTAAATCATATGTTTCTGTTTCTTCTCACGACAATATCGGTCGGGCAATGGTTGAACAACTTTGGGTGTTCAATATTATAAAAGAATGGAGGGCGAGAAAAAATCAAGAGAAGGAAGAGATCGAAATAATGGAAACTGACTTTGATACGTCATTGGGCTTCAAGCGTATGATATTCGAGAGAAGAGAAAAGGAGATCAAGACTAAATATAATTTACCATAGTTTTTTTATTAATATATTTTTTTAATTATTATCGTTTTAATTTTTTTAATTTAATGAATGTAATTTTTTTAAAATCATTGTTGTTTCAATTTATTTAAGTAAAGAAATTATTAAATTCTATTAATTTAGTTTTAGAAAATGTTTATTTAAAATGTAAAAAATGAAGGCTTGAAGCCCCAGTTTGAAGCTGTGGGGGGCTTTAAACTCATTTCCAGTGAATTTGTGAGGTTGGTTAAAACTGACGTGACAGATAGGGAAACTTTAAAGCCCCGTGGCTTCATACGTATTTCCAGTGCCCTTAGCCATGTTTTCTTATTTGTCTTCAATTTCTACTATGCACTATGAATGCAAACGGATATTAATCGGATCGGATGTGCCATTACTAAATCCGTTTCCATTTATTTCTGCCGGATATCGAATTCGGATACAGATCTTAACGGATACTGAAAATCAAAACTGTATCTGCATCCGTCGGATATCGGTCGTATACCAGATATATTCATATCTGATTCCAATTTTTTTAAACCAAATTAAACAATACTTTGATTTCCAATTAAACTAAATCAAAATATTATTAAATAAACTACTCCTTTCGTTCTCAAAAACACTTCCTCTTTCATTTTTTTCCACTTTCAACAAAACTCTTCTACTTTCTATTAAAAAATCACTTTTACCCTTACTTTTTCATACCCTACCTATCACATCAAACTTTTTCTTTAATAATCTATCCATCACATCGTACTTTTATCCATCATATCAGGGGCAAAATTGGAAGTCAACTATAATTTAACACTTCCTTATTTCTGCTCCAAGTCAAAATAGGAAGTCCTTTTGCAAACGGAGGGAGTATAATTTTTTATGGGATAATTATTTTTTTATTGTTTATAGTTTATGATATTCTACGATTACTTCATATCATAAAAAGATATACATAATACATATATATACACATATTTTTATGTGTTTACACATATATTTTGCATATAAAAATGTATTATACTTTGAGATATCAATAGAGAAACAAAATATAAAAATAAAAAATTAGGAAAAGCTATATTTAACGGACCGGGTACACGGATAAATGGTTATTTAAACGGATGTCAATGCGGAGAAGATTATAAACGGATCGGATGTGTGATTACCAAATTCGTATCCGTTTACTAATACAGATAATAACCGCTTTTAACGAATGCGAATATTTTTCATATAAACGGATACAGAGGCGGACGGTAATCAAATTTTTGGTTATCCATTTACAGCCCTATGCACTATCACATCCACAAGTTGCACATTTGCAATTTGAATTATCTAGACAAATGAAAATATGAAAACACCAAACACCCGTGGGGTGAGATATGCTCAACGTAAATGCATTAAAAATAGCTATTTAATGCAGTACCCATGACATATAATGCTATGCTAAAAAGAAAAAAATATTAAAATCTGACACGTTTTTTTAAAAATAATAATATTGCTTATGTAAGAACCATCGCAATAATATCTTCCAAATATTCCCTCCGTCCCTGAAACATATTCCCCTTTCGTTTATTCTTTGTCCCACAAACATGTTCTTTTTTGCCTAAAAAGGACATTTATACCCTTTAACCTAAATACTACCCAACCCACACCCAATCGTGCCCTATTAACTCCACTGTCTCTCTTCTGCCCATTCCACTTTCCCATCGCGGCATTTTACCCTCCTCTCCTCTCCTCCTCTGTTCTGATCAATCTTCCCTTCTTCTTCAGAAATTGAATTAGTAGTAGTGGTGATTCGTGACTCTACGATGCCCAGCTTCAAGATATTAACCGATAGTGTCGTAAAAAGGCCTTCTCCTTTGCATATCCCAAATTCTCTCAAACTTGTGATCCCTAAATACGACTCTAGTGACAACAGATTTGGTACATCTGATACAGATCCAAATAGTGGTATCGAAAAAAGTACCTTGGGGGAGGCCATTTTCCCTTAGAGGATGAAGAGGGCTGTGACAAAGAAGATGGGGAGGAAGAAGAATTAGTTACTTCACAACAGATATTGGACATGTCTAATACTAAAATTTTCTTCTCTAAGCCTTTAGGTGATGATGATAAGGCACTACGCTTCAGACAAAGTACTATCTCCCTTCTCTCAATATTCACACTTTGATTACTCTTTGCATGTCCAATTTTATGATTTTTTGGCAAACTTATGATGCAAACAACCATTACTCTCAGTGATTGAAAGTTATGAGCTATATTTGGCACTGTAGCTATATTGTAATGTCACCCATAAGATCAAATTTTGTGGTCTACCGTTTCTAGTTTGTGCGAAAGAACCTTTGTGCGAAAAAACCTTTGTGTGCGAATTGATTGAGATGTGTACTTCACTCTATTTCTACATCTAATTATATTGAATTGGTAAAACAGATTCAATGCTTGCCTATGTTTTGTTCATAAAACATTTACTATACCTGGTTCTATTGAATTGGTAAAACAGATGTTATGCTTGCCTTTTGAATTGGTAAAACAGATGATATGCTTGCCTATTTCTTGTTCATAAAATTTTACTACCATTGATTATATTAAATAGGTAAAACAGATGCTACGCTTGTCTATTGAATTGGTAAACAGATGTTATGCTTGCCTTTTGAATTAGTAAAACAAATGTTATGCTTGCCTTTTGAATTGGTAAAACAAATGCTATGCTTGCCTATGTCTTGTTCATAAAACTTTTACTACCACTGATTATATTGAATAGGTAAAATAGATGTTATGCTTGCCTTTTGAATTAGTAAAATAGATGCCTATTGGTAAAACTTATACTACACCTGATTCTGTAGAAAAAAAACATGTTTTCCTTCCTATGATACAATCAATGGTACACTTAGATATATGACCAAAGATAAGGTATACTTGCATTATAATATAAGGTATACTTTCATTACAATCTAAAGTTTACTATCACAAAAAGCAAAAAAATCCCATTGCTTAAAACCTGCATGTTCAATACTTCTTCTTTGGCATTCAAAAGTCCCTACAACACTTGTTCTCATCCAATAATTGTGCAAAAAGTCCCTGCAATACTTGTTCCCATCAAATAATTGTGCAAAAAGTCACTGGAGGTACATGGAGACATTGTACCTTTCCTTGGCCATGTTTGCAGATATAACAAAAAGTACCCTAACTTAAGGTACTTACATTTGTTCCTCTAAGAACAATTTGTGGCAGTCTACCTTTTCTGGCCAACTTAATTTTTCCCATGTGAGGGATTTTGAATTGGTTACCTCCATTGTTAATTAGAACCTCACCCATCACCCCTTGAAGAGTCAAAAAGACTTTATTGAGTTTCTCTGGTGATAGTTTTTCAAAAGTTGTTGTAACAGCTTTAAGCAACTCTGTCAAGGACCTAGCAGCTGTTCGGTCTTGCAGTGAGTCAATTGACCTAAAGAATCCAAGATCAAGTACGTTTAGGTCAGGGGTGTTGGGTGGCTGGAATTTTAGTCCAATGTTCCAATCACCTTTTTGAGCAGCTTCTTTAATATCAAGGTCACTACCATCCACATGAGGCTTAACATATCTTGCTGTACTATTTTATTCCTTGATGATCCTGGCCATTTTTCTTTAATTGCTCGAAGTAACTTAGTAAGCAACATCCCCTTCATCACATCTCTTTTTATGATTGGGATGGACGTTACTTCCATAGTCCCTGCAGGCTTGTTCTTAATAGACCTTTGAGATGGAGCTTCATAAGTGAATGGAAAAATGCTTATTTTCTCATCCCATAGAAGTTCCACATCCTCCTCATACCTAGGCCTACCAACCGCGGCTAGAAACATAATTTTTGGTATGATTTTTTTTTGCTTTGAATGGTTCAGTATGGGGGTGCCTCCTTAGGTAGTGCATAGTATGTTGAGGTTTCTTTTGTTATGTCAAACCATTTCTCATCAATATGAATGTGATCATAAAAGTCATGAAATTTTGGGCTCATGGGGATTGGGGGGGGGGGAATTACATGATCCAAACAGAACTTCAGTCTTTTAAGCATACCTTTTTTTATAGTAGTGGCTTGATGACACTTGAATGCCTCCTGATGTCTTTCCACTTAAGCCATCTATGGATTGTGGATTTTGACACATCCATAGCATGAGCAAGTGCACGCATGTTCTTTCTCCTGTTAAAAGGCACAACTGCCATTTTTTCCATGTCAAGTGCGAGCCTTTTTCTGCCACATTTCCATTTCCACTTGCATTCAACATTAATGGGTAGACCACCCTCAAGTTGAGTTGTAGCTACTGCCCAAATTTTGCTAATTGTTTTAGCAGAAAAGCTGAATTCTTCATCTACTTTCTTAATGACACCATCCTGAAGTTTGCCATTTTTTACTGTTGTAGTAACACATCTACCACCAATTTTGTTTTTGATTTAGTACACCACCTTTGCTAATGTTTTCGCTTTCTGTTGCAGGAGTGAAAAGGTTAGCAAAAGGGACTTCAATCACTTGGGGAAGATTGTCAAAAGAGGATGACACATCTGCTGAAAAGGAAAAGGAAGTGGAAGAATCCAAAGAAGAGTCAACATGTCTTTAAATAGAAGTGTGTAAAATGGATGTATTTCTAATTTTAGTTTTGGAGGGCTCTAGTTGGAGGGAAGTTTGAATTTCTCCCAAAAAAAACCTTGAAATTTGAATTTGGCTTTGTTTATTGCTCTGCCGCACAGTGGGTATGGACTGTTTGTTGTTTGCTTTATTGCTCGCAACGGCCGAGATGATGAGATGTGTACTTCAATTAATTTTTTAATCCTATTTTACACTATTCAATGATTTGAGCTTCTCCACTTTATTTTAGGGTTGGGGTAAAATGGGAAAGTCAAAGCACAAATATCTCTCCCTTAATTTCCCTAAAAGTCAAAAAAGAGAACTACGGGGAGGGAAGGAGTACAATAGTTATATGAAAATAGTCGACACCCGTCTATCTGAAAATATTCAAGTTTAGTGCCTGTGATATACTGAGTATGATGCTATGCTTGAAAGAGTAAAATTTTAAAATTTAATAACACACCATAGATAACAATCATCAAATTTAGAAGGAATTTCTACTCTATATCCATAGCCCTTCACAAATTTAATCAATTCACTTCTAATTCGCTCTAATGAAGAAAAAAATTGAGAATATTATAGAATGCAAAAGGTATCCAATTGAAGCACAGGTACTCCGAAAGATATTTCAATAAGAGCAAAAGCACGGTATAAAAAAAGAAAAAAAACAGTAATCATTATTATTGAGGAAACAAACACCATGTATAATTAAACGGAGGTGTTCCCATGACATTGAAAATGGGGTTTCTAATTAGTTCAAAAAAACATGTAATGAAACAACAATTCCACAAGTGTTACACTACAAATTAGGAATTTGGAAAAGGTCGTACCAGATTATGTAGGAGATATCTTCTGGAAAGTGGAAAATAATGAAATTTTGCAATACACATTCAGAGCAAAGAAGCTTCTTAATTCTCCGATGAACAGCGAGCAAAGTCCAAAATGAAAACAAAAAAATTGGTAATCATTCCAGTGAGATAAGCAAACATTGTGATTAAGAAGATTAAAGATTCAAAAGAAAACCAGTTAACATTTTCAGAAATTAGAGATGATCGCGTGCTGAAATTGCGGAACCAATCGATAGGGAGGAGATAGAGCAATCGAACAAAATATGAAAATACATAAGTGACCCTTAAACTCATCCAAACTCCAAAGTGAAGCTAGAATACAGATCAGATCTACCCCATCCAACGGTGTATAAAGATTCTTATTTCTTTCATTAGATACTATTTATTTAAATGGTACGAGTAAACAATAATTTTTATAAAACCAAACCAGCAAAAAAAATATGGGTACTATTCGAGTTCGGGTCTAGACCCCCACTCGTTTGCAGGCCTATTCGTACTTGGGCGTGATAACAGAGGTGTAGCCAAGGGCCGCGGTGTGATTGTCATTGCACATGTAGCATGTGGTAGTTTGAATTCCCGGGCTAACACAAACATGATCAATAAAGACTTGGGGGGGGGGGTTGTTTTTCTTAAAGAAGAGGTTTCCAGATGGCAGATGGTCAACCTGTGATGTTAAACATCACATGACAAAGGAAACATCGGTTTAAAAATTGTTGTGTAAAATACGGAGTATATTTTCCTATTACTTGTGTATGTGGATGCCTTACAGTACTCAGCAATAAACAAATTTAGAAGAAGAATAAAACGACAGCCGATGAAAGCCGTCTTACCCGAGAAGATGCAGAATAATACGTAGCATTAGATATTTAGATCACAAAGAAAAATGCTGCATTTATTTCTGAGTCAATGTGCCCTTCTTTCATGAAGTTTTTTGGAAAAAAAGAAGGCATCATGCAAAATGTCAGTCGCATTTACAATGGCATATACATACAATGAAAAACAAGAAGAAGAAGAAGAAAAGATGCTCACAGAAATTGAAGAAAGCCATTTCATTTCCATCGCAGGCCCACCACACATTGGCTACTATTTATTTCTCAGATGGAGTTGGGGTGTCTACAATTTCTGTTATCTTCTTTTTCAGCTCCCCCTTGTTGGCTCCAACTAGTTTCGCCGTTTTATCTTTATTGATTACCGGTTCATCTTCTCCTTGTACGGGTTTGAAGAAGAAGAAGGTCGGGGTTGCTTTAATATCCAAGGCTGTGCTGAAATCCTGACACACAAAATCATTTCCGCACATAAGTTTAAGTGATGAATTTATTACCAAGAGATCATCATAAATTAGGCCCTAATATTTTAAAAGGCAGGAAAGGAAGGGGCCACCCTTCAATTGACACTGGTAATCCGTTGCCACATTATGGAAATAAGGTAGTAAAATGGGATAAAATGTATCATAACTCTATTTTCAATGTATACTCACGGTAAGTTGATCAACATCGACAGTCAGAAACATCAAAGAAGGATATTTCTCTGAAAGCTCAGCGTATAGCTGTGCAATTTCTTGACACGGACCACACCATGAAGCACTAAAATTAGCAACAACCTGCAGAACATCACGATGATTCTGAGCTTCAAATACTTGACAGATGCAAACTAACAACATGAACACAAGTTTATAGACAGATAATAATCACCTGTTTGCCATCTTTCTTTGCTTCTTCCATCTTCAGCTTCCATTCTTCTTCTGTAGTTACTAATTGAACATTTCCTCCAGCTAATTTATGTTGAGGGTCTGACTCATCCCCATCACCTTTAGAGTTATCCTGCAATTTATGTACTTTGTCATTGCCATAAAAAGGCACTAGTCATACTTTTGCAGGCCAAGCTGACACCAATTGATCAAAATGCTCACAGATGTTGTAAAGTACATCTATTTCCAGTATAATTCCACAATATCCGATTCAATCCATTCGGTACATACCCTTAATGATAAAAGTACAGTTCCACATATATGGTCTTGAGTTACCCCCGTAGGATCTTTCTTTACACTGTTTGGTTCTAGGAATTTGGAAGAAAAAGAGCAAAAAATAGTTCTCTCATTTTTCTAACCAAAATGAGAAAAATATGGTTTTCCTGTGCATTTTGTCTTTTCATTTTCTTTTCCTTCTACTTTCCTTATCTTTTCCTTTCTAACCAAACAAGAGAAACGGTTTTCCATTTCATTTTCTTTTTTTCTCTTTCAACTCCCTTGAACCAAACATAGTGTAAAGGATTCAATCTCAAGTTGTAATGTGATATCTGAACCTAATAATTTCAACTGAGGTATTTGGTCCTAGTCAGCCTTATAAAAGAACACATATTTCATGATAGGTCTCCTCGAACAAGCAAACATCTTAATAGAAGCAGTACAACTTAATCAATATGGGAAAAGAAATTTTAAGAACATGATTTCAATTTCCAAACTAGGCTCTAGGTAGACCAAACTTAGATTTCATGAATCATTAATTATTATGATCATTAAATAAAACCACTCTATTCCTACTCGTTGAAAATCCACAAAAAATTGGGACCATATTGACACAGACCATCAAAATATAGCCATAAAACCAAATTTCTCAATGGCACACCCACAGATTCTTTCACCAATTTCAGGAATAGCTCCTTCCACCGATTGAATATATCCTCAAAAGCTCAATGTCATTACGCAGGACAAATTATTCTCACTCCACATGAATAGTTTTAATATAGTAATAATGTCCTCCCTCCATCGCACAATAATTGTCTAACTTTCCTTTTTCGTCCGTCCTAAACAAATGTCTCATTTCCTTTTTAAGAGAACATTTCTTTCTTCACTGCATAAATTATAACCACATACTTTTCATTCTTCAGCATTTTTCTTAAATGAAAAAATTTTGTGGTCAAACTGAGACAATATTTATGAGACGAAGGGAGTAATATTCATTTGTTCCAAGCAAAAGGCTATCTAGACGAAAGGTAATGGCAACATTTCCTTACCCATTAATTTTAAATTGGCTGCATCTTCCTATTAAGGGTGAATCATGCAACACCAAGGCAAAGCAAGGCAAGGAAATATACCCAAGTAATAGCTCATTTAATGTATAATCAGCAAACAAATACCAACAAAAAGGTATGAAACCAACAAAACAATGACATTCTCAGCAGAGTAGTGGCGAACGGGTGGTGTTTAAACGTACGTGACAATGTGTTTCAGCTCGGAAAAAAAACTAAGAGGTCGCTTAGTAATGGTTATTTGACCAGCTGAACTGCTTAATTTTCAAAGGAAAGAGCATTTGGCACCCTCATCTTAACCCTAAAAAGAGTAAGAAGATCAAAAGTTGCTTATTCTACCAACACTATTGTCTGTTGGCTACCAAACGGACCCTGAAGAAGGGCAATTGAAGCCATGAAGAGCATAGTTGATGCCTAATGGAAGGGAAAAAGAAATCTGGAATAATAGGAAGAACTGTAGTTAGATCATGATCAAAAGTGGATTAATAGACAAACCTTAGGCTGAAAACACCGCTTCGGTAGGACATTCCCCATTGTCTATCACAACTGTCAAATTCGATCTTTCTCAGTATCCCCGCAAACTCAGATCAATTAAACTCCCGCTACCTAATGAAATTTGGAAGAGCCAGAGAAGTTAGTCACCAAAAAAACGCCTGCTAGCTCAATTACTCCCTCCCACTTTACTTTTTCTCCCCTCCCAAAATTATCACCCATTTCAAATAAATCTCAATTACACCGTTTTCATTTTCTTAAATCCTGTGCAGTAATTAACCAAGTAAAGAACCATCCCAGATTGGACTCATCACCAACTCTAAGAACCCAGATCTTGAGATCAATGTTACTCGCACTAGCAGAAGACAACTTTATTATAGTGATAAACATCACACCACATCGCACCAGCAATCCCTTTTGATATCTACCACGGAAGTGAAAGTGAAAGTGCAGTGGAAAAAGGAATTTATATTTTAAAACCGAAAACCTTTAATACTACTCATCTTTCAATCGAAGAAGAAGAACTAAAATCAACAAGGGATTGACGCGGCGATGGTGGACGAGCAGCTGTAGAGACAGTATAATTGCAAAAGAAAATAAGAGACGAACCAGAGACGCGGCGGAGGAGACGATGGTTTACTAACTGTCAGACGGAGTGGATTTCGGGCATTAATTATCCGCTCTGCCTTCTATCAGGAAGTTTCCAATTACCGAATTACGAAATACGGACGACTACGTATTTCCAAATGGAGATGGGTTAACTAAAGTTGCCTCCCAATGTGATACTCCCTATTATGAACTAAGGGGAGTTTATTCAATCAAAATTTTATGGATTTTTTTGATTTTCAGAGTCTGTTTGTCACTATTTTTTTTAGAGTGTTTCTAAGCTCGTGCAGTGACCTGAAGTGATTTTGTGTTGTTTGAGTTGTCTGATTTATTCAAACGCAAAATTGGGCTTTCAACTGTGTCCTGCTGAAGCATCCTAGAACAACTTTTGGCGATTAACTTATAGGGTAAAATTAAAAATATCTACTAAAATTACAATTTTATCTTTGTTAAAAATAAATAATCTCTAATGGCACAAAACGTCTTCCACTTCTTCTCCACTACTTTCCAGCAAGCATTTTTCCAACTTTCTCATCCTCTACTTTCCAAATTCCTCTGCTAAATTTGTAGTTTTTCCTCCTTCCATATTTTTTATATTTGTATCACTAACGGAAAATGTGTTAAAAATATAGAGTGCTTACTAAAAGTGCTCATAATAATTTCAATATAGCATATGCTTTTTTGTTGGTCAGCAAATATTATCCTAAGAGCCGTAAAAAATGAGGGTAGTATAATAAATATGTTAATTTCTTACAAATCCAGAAGTGATCATAATGTCAAACACTAGAATGCATGTTGAGGCAATAAACTACTTTGATGTGAAAACAATACTGCTTTTGATCCTAACTTTAAATTGTGGATTTTTGATGAAGTGATATAAAAATAATCACTTTTGTTAATCCAACACACTGACAAACATGCTCTTAATAATGTGGATTGTGATGGATTTTTATGCCTTGCATATAAATATAAATCTTGTTCCAAATCACATCAACAGACCTGGGATTTTGCGGAGTCTATCTTCTTCTCCTTCTTCGATCGGTCTTCCACGCTTCCCCATCTTCTTCTTCGATGAGGCACAACATCAACCATGGCGCTGAGAACAATTCATTAGATTCTTGATAAATCTTTACAATATAATAGATGGAAATGTATTGAAGTCTACATAACATTAAAACAATCCATAAATCTTACATAGTCCATGGATTATAAAAAATCTAACATAATCTTTTAAAATCTATATTGAATACACCATCCTAGACTTCCATTAGAGTTTCTATGATCTCTATTCAAAAAATTGATGATTTCTAAACTTTTATTCCTTTCAAATTTTTAACTCCAAAGTCAACTAAAATTGAAAATAACAATTGAAGAAAGTTGAGGTCGATTTGATTCTGGCCGGGTGAAGGGGTTATGGGTTTAAGAACCATCAATTTTTCACACAGGATACTGTAAGAGCCCCAATTGGAGTCAATGTGATTTGTGAAATGTATCGGGTAGGGAGGATTTCGAGTGTCCTAAGACTCCTGGGAAATATGAAGTATGACACTAAGGTTCTGTTATTTCTCCTCTATGGCAATGGCGAGAATTGTATAGCCATATATATGGTACAATAATAAAACATAATTAGTTAGTAATAATATAATCTTTGTGCCAATCTGGTTGCCTTCTGTCCCGAGCACTCTATCTACCTCGTAGTTCTTTGTGTTCCTCATCATGAGTAGGCCTTGACACGTCACCCATGTTGGGCCCGCCAACCGTATCATCACTACCCGGTTACACAACGACTAAGTCCTCAAGGTCCAAATTAGGGAATGAACGGTGATTTACCTCCAGCGGCTCCCATGCAGCATCATCAAGCTCACCATCAGACGACTGAACCAGTACTTGATCGATCAACCAACCATTATGTAGAATGGATTGTCGTTGATTGATTTGAATCACCTGTGAAAGGGGTTTCCCGTCGACAAACTCGGCTGGTAAGGGAAGAAGGACGATAGCCTGCGATCCATGGAATTTCTGTGGGCGAGACACAAGGGAACCTGGGTGTATATGGGATGTTGGAGGCAATTTCAAATGATAAGCAACTCGACCAATTTTCTCACCTTTAAAAGACCATAAAAACAGTGGGAGAGATTTGTAGAATGCTTCCGAGCAACAAAAGGTTGTCGATACGGCTACAACCGTAATAAAACCAAATCACCAACCTCAAAATAGAGCTCCCTAAAATTTTTATCTGATTTGTTCTTCATGCACGGATGGGCCGTAGCAAGGTTACATTGTAATTGAACCAAGAGACTCTCTCGTTCTCTGAGAGGGGCGTCGACAGCTAAAACTTTACTTCCCGGGGTTGTTAGGCAAAAAGGTAAGGGGAGGGCAAACGTATAATGCTTGGAATGGTGTCGTCTAAAAACCTTCATGGTAATGGGTGTTCAAAGTGTACTACGCCAAAGGTAACAACACTGATCACCGCTTGGGTTTGTCCTGAGTAAATGACCGAAGATAATCTTCAACGCTCGGGTTCACGACCTCGGTCTGACTGTTTATTTGTGGGTAAAAAGCGGTGCTTAGACACAATGTTTTTCCACTCAACCTCAGGGCTTCACGCCAAAATATGCTCGTGAACACCGTATCTCTGTCAGAGATAATGGCCTTCGAAACCCATAGAGTTTAACAACCATATCAAAAAAGAAATGCCACCGAGTGTGCATCAAAGGCAGTAGGTAAGGTGCATAGAAGCACGAATTTGGATAAACAGTCAACCACAGCCAAAATGACTGTAAACCTGTGCGATTGGGGTAAGCCCAAGATAGAGTCCATAGAGATGTCATCTCATACCTGGAGAGGAATGGGCAGCGGGTGCAATGATCCGACCAGTGGCAAACAAGGTATTCTCGAACATAAGCAAGACATCGTCATGCATTCTTGGCCAATGAAAAACCATCGCCAATCCTTAGAACACCCGATGCACGCCTACATGCCCCGATCATGGATGTATCGTGATACTCTCGAATCAGTTTGGCGCGTAATGGAGATGTAAATCAAAATATCATCAAAGAACACAATTACAAACTTTATAAGTAAGAGGTGAAAAGATGATTCATGCAAGCCTGGAATATAGATGGTGCATTTGTCAAATCAAAGGGCATGACCAGAAATTCATAATGCCCCTCTAGTACCCGGAATGCCACTTTATAAATATCTTTGTCACACATCTGTAATTGATGATATCCGGAGCACAAATCCAATTTCGTGAAACAACGCGAACGTCACAATCCATCAAATAGTTCATCGGTGGTGGGAATAAGGAAGTGGTCCAGAACTATACTTGACAATGTTCAAAGTGCGTTAATCCATACAAATGTGGTGAGAGTCATCCTTTTTCTTGACAAGCAACACGAGAGAGAAAAAGAACTAGGGCTTAGTTTAATAAGGCCCTTGGCAAGCATCTCTTGGACCTAGCACTCAATTTTAGCCTTCTGAAAATGTGAATAGTGGTAGGGTCGTACATTGACGGTGAGTTGTCGAGGAGGAGGAATATGTGGCGGTCGGCGCAATGCCGAGGAGTCAAATATTTTGATTCCTCAAATATTGTGGGCATGCAAAACTATTCATGGTGAGGCTCTGCAATGTGGATTGTCCTCCTTTGAGCAAGATAAGTTTGTCACATAATTAAATTTCAAAGTCATTGAAGCATAATCATGAGTAAACCAGCTGAGCTCTTCTAACCATTGGATGCCAAGAGCGACGTCTTGGCCGTGTATCAGTAAAACGAAGACGTCGTCCGAAAGTAGAGTACCTTTAAGGGACAATGGTAGGTCGGAGCATCGCTTGTCACATGGTATTGAATCGCCGTTCTCCACATACACCCGGAATGGCGCCACCATAAGGACCAAAATTTGGAGTTTGGAGACCTGGCCAGGATGTATAAAATTCTGAGTATTCCCTCCATCTATGAAGACCTGGACATCGGTAATGTGGAGCCGACCTATCAAACGAAGTGAACATAGAGTAGTAGTATTATCCATGGTATTCAAACTCGAAATATCAACAGAGATGGGTTGCGTGTCGGCTTTCGGGTTGTCCAGCATGTCCACGTGCTCATCGCCACATAATAACAAAAAACAACCGCAACGATGGGTCTTGGACACTTTTGGTTGCAAATGTAGCATAAGCCCTTCACTCGACGTCCCAACCACTCTGCACATGGGAGACGATGCACCGGGGTGGACCCCACTTGTTCCACGCAGGAAGGTGTTGGTGCGGCTCTAGTGGCTTCCCAAAGGAAATAGTCGTGGAGATTAAAACTCAATAGCATGGGAACATTACTGTTCCAAATGATATTGGAAGTTTTTAATGAACATAAACTTTGTGTGAACAGCATGCCCGCCAAAATGCAAGTGCAATAGGGACTTTGAACGAGTCCCCCAATTTTAAAGAGCCCATTTTTAAAAAATATCTTTAAGCCATGAGTAGATATATCTTCGTGTCCAAGCCCAATATCTTTTACAAAGTATTCCTTTGTTATTATCGGAACGTATTTATTTACTATATACTTTCTTCCTAAGAGAATTTTCAATCCACGAAGCGTCAAAGTAAAGGTGGAGTTCCTTGTCTTGCCACTCAGCCACACAAGTTTCTTTTTGCTTATAATCATATGCTACCGCCGTGCATTAGAAGAAACATGTAAAAGTTGTTAAAATTATATACTACCTCTGTTCTGAAGTGTATGTCCAGTTTTAACTTTTGCAGTCAAAATTGATAAACTTTGATCATAAATTAAACAAAGTTGATAAAACAATATTTTAAAAATATAGGGAACGTCTAAAATGACACCAGTTGTTTACACTAGTTCGTTTGGGGTACCTACGGTGTTCCGTTTGTAAAAATAACGGTTCTTACCTCCCTAACCCTCCTCCTAAACCCCCCACCCCAGCCCCCTCTCCCTACCCTGGCAGTATACTGCCAGGATACTGGGTGAGAAACCCTGAGGTTCCAATGGGTGAGAAACCCTGAGGGCACTGGAAATACCCGTGAAGCCCCGTGGCTTCAAAATTTCTCTCTCTGCCATGTCATTTTTAACTTACCTCACAGATTCAGTAGAAATGGGTTTGAAGCCCCGGGGTTTCAAACAGAGGCTTCAAACCCTCATTTTAACATTTTTAAATATACATCTTCTAAATTTAAATGAATAAACTTTAATTATTTAATTATTTAAAATAATCGAAAGGAGAATAGGGCATTAAAATAATTACACTCATTAAAAAATATTGCATCCATAAAAAAATACATTCATAAAAAGATTACACTCTTCAAAAAAAATATTACATCCATAAAAAACAACACTACAAACAAATTACTAATTATTCGAGCGACTGGAGATATGTTCGATCAAATCTACCATTAATGCATTGTGAATTTCTTGGCGGTTTCTTCGTACATAGGCACCTCCTCGTCCTGGTTGTATTGACAAATCGCAAATCCGTTGTCCTCTACGATCATATTATGAAGAATAATACATGCGTACATGATATTCCTCATATTTGTTAGAGAAAAACATTTGGACAGACGATCTAGAATGTGTCACTAAGCCTTCAAGACCCCGAAGGCTCATTCAATATGTTTTCTCGCCGCCTCGTGAGCTTTTTTGAAGGTTTGGCGTTTATGACCCATTGGTTCCAAGAGGGACTTGACAATGGTAGAATAATCTGGATATATCTTTTATGATAAATTCGAATAATAGCTTTAGAAATTTTATAAACACAGGACCTGATGCTCTGAGCTGACATCTTCAAGTATTCGTCGAACATATCAGATGCCGTCGCGTACGCCATCTGACGAAGCGCGGCAGTGCACTTCTGGACACTACTAAACCTGCGTCGTCTCTCGCATCAAAGCGTTGGGTGAACCAAGGCACCTCGCGTTCAACATCGGCGAGTATGCGTAAAAAGAGAGGACGACTCATCCGAAAACGATGACTAAAATCCTCCGGTGTATAAACACACGGAGTATTGAAGTAGTCGTTGAGAAGTGAAGCGTGAGCATCCGCTCGATCCCAGTTTAAATGTTGTCGTCGGGTCCGGCGTCAGGAGGATTTGGCTTCTTCTTTTTCGCCTTGTTGCCACCATTGATAACAACTCGTGGCGAAACAACAAAAAATGAGAGTTCTTTTTTCATCATCGGATGAAGATAATCTCATTTTTAAACTATATTTTATAAATAATTATAATAAATAATCAAATATTTGAAAGAATACTTGATAGAATTATAGAGAAGAGATAGTGAGAAATGTGTGAGAGATAAGTTTGTTTTGATTGAATTTATAGGTTTTTTTAATTTAATTTTTTTTTGATTAACGGTTATTTTAGCCGTTTTTTAACCGTTGGGAGACGCGTTAAACGTTTGACGCATTGGAGCTGACGCCCTATAACGCCGCCAGGGAGCAGTGTTTAACGCCCAAAGGGCGTCAAACACAATCGCCTGGGGCGTCAGTCTCATTTCCGTTGCCCGACATAGAGAAGAAGTGTTAGAGGATAAATTGTACAGAGAAGAATGTAATTAATGAAAGCATTAGTAAAAATGACAAAAATATCTTCTGTACGGGTTGGAAACAATTCGTCCAAATGAACAACGGAAAGTTTGGAACATTTGTTTTCACATTCCTAATCCTAAACCCCAATTTGGAGTGTAGGTAAACTCGTATAAAATAGTGGCAAGGATTGGAAGCATGTCACCCTCCTTAAAACCCATCCAAACAAGGAAACAATTCCCTTTACATTTCATTTCATTTCATTCCATTCCATTACTTACCTCTTACATCCATTCAAACATAGCTTAAGGGGATTTTAAAATTTAAAAAAAAATTAAAAAAAGGGGCTTACTACTAGCAGTTCATAAGCATTCCAAATTTCAATGGCGCATTGGCGCTATTGTAGTAGAGGGTCAAAGGGTTCGGGGAGGGGTTCAAAACCATTGTCAAACATGGTGGCCTCGGACTTGTCATCAATGCTGTGCAACCAATTAGTGTTCTTCACATCCTCTTTGAGTAGGAGCATGTCATAACGACAACTCTCGTACACATCAGCGTCTGTCACTCTTGCTAAAGAAGACCGTTCATGTCTTTCCTCTTCTTCGCTTCTGTTCTCCAAAGGCCTACCATTATTACAACTTCCTTTTTCTAAGATGGGCTCGCTGTTGTTACTGTTCATACTTCCACTCAAAGATGCCGGGGAACTTGAACCATGCACCTGCTGCTGCTGCTGCTTTTTAGTGCCGTTGGATCGGATGCTAGGAGGGAAGAGTGTCGAGCCTGAAATTGCCCGTGCGCCATTCGGGCTATTTCTTATATCCTGCAACATAAATTATATCTATAGGTGGTTGGTAACATCCGGTAGAAGAGAAGATTGCGCCAAGGCGAGTTGAAATTCTATCACATCTAGTGGCCAGTTTGGTAGCCATTTTTTTTTGGCTTATGAACTAGATTTCTGAATTGGTTGATAATGGAAAAGATTGCAACTTGAGGTATTTCTTTTAATGAAGTCGCCAAGGATGATCATCTCAGCCTTTTCACATCTTTATTTTATTAAGAAAAACAAACTTTGCTTTTCTCATATTACAGTAATTTCCGTAACTTTGTCAGAACTAACCACATGTTCAACCAAATTCACATTTACCAAATGGGTTCCTAATCTGCATATGATAGTCAGATATAGAAGGAAAACACAGTATATCAAGATGCAATATAAGCAGATTGAAATAAGCTTAAAATAGAATGACTGTGCTTACCATATGCCTGATAGCCACATCAAGAGATTTCTTTGAGATAGTGCCACCAAAGCCCACACTCTCAGTAGGTGTCCTAACAGATTTCCTCTGAGGCAACTTTGAGCCATGTGAAACTCTGCCAGAGTCGGAGGCATCAGACGAGTGCCCATTTCCAACCACTCGCACTCTTCCAGAGGGTGATGGCTGCCGCCGCGGTGGATTTCCAGCATTTGGAATATCCATAGCCCCTTTTCCAGAGAGGGGAGCACCAGGTCTGGACCTACCAACCGACAGTGGCCTGTCAGGTAATGAGGTTCGCAAATTTGAAGGAGTTTCCAGTGAAAAATCCGGAAGAACAATTGGTTGAGGTGTTCGTCGAATTGGTGGACCTGGGGAGCTTGGGCGTGATACTGAGGCTGTACTTCTAGCAGGGGAGCTTGGGCGCGAAACTGAACCCACATTTCTTCCATTGCTGACAGTGCGTCCAGAGGATGAACAACCGTTTTGACTGCCTTTTCTTAAGGCTGCACATCCACAACTACCAGAACTACATCATCTAGCTCCTCGTCTTCTTGAGTAGCTACTTCATTAGACTCCGGATCTCCAACCCCACCTTCCAGAGCTCGAAACCCTACCAGACCTTGGCCACGATTCCCTACCTACAGGAGAGCCTCCTCAACTTCCGGAACTGTCAATTGGGCGTGAAGTGGTGGTGGTAGATGGTCTGGCTGAAGATGAAGAACGTGTGGGAGTAGATTGTCTAATATAGGATGAAACTGAAGCAGAGCTTGTGTTCAGAATATTATTACTTGATTTGTTTGAGTAGTTATTGTACTGTGAACTGGAGATAGAAGGACGGGTTACAGAACTGCTGCGAGTTGGCCTTGCTGGCTGACTACTGTTCTCAGAGTGAGACACAGAAAGCTGAGATGCAAAATTGTGTAGAAGCGATGTGTCAATACATTATTTATATGATAGAAAGTTGAAAACAATCAATGTGCACTCATCAGTGATCATATTAATGCACGTTAATTTACAATCAGAAATCTTACCCTTGACGGCTTAGATGCCGAGACTGATCTGGCCAAAGGGCGGCTTCTTGAAGCCAGAGCGACATGTGCTGGTTGAGGTTCATTTACGTTGGATGAAGGAAGCGGAGTTCCTGGAGGAGTTAGAAGCCTATTGACATGGAAAGGTAAGGGCTGTTGGTACAAACATTTGAGGAAAGTACTAATTGGACATAACTGATAACTCAGTTTCCTTATAAACCTTAAGCTCAAACTTAAACTAATTCACAAAAAGTCATCTCATTTATGATCTACTAAACTAAGTAACTAACTAGGACCATTAACTCACCAGTGTATCAATACTACCATAGCATTTATGGTGTTTGAACTAATTAATGCCACAAAGACGAAACTAAGCATGGGATACTTACCAATCATAATCATGTTTGCCTTCTTCAGAAGATGACAACAGATCATCTGATCCATTCTTCCCCACAATCACTGATCCAACTGAAAGCCTTCCCAGTTTAACCGGAACTGTTCCTGCAAAACAATCAAAAGATATTTGAGCAATAAAAATTACTCCTAATAATCATTGACCCTCAGGGGACTATCTTGCTACACACTTTATATTGTACAGAGTAGCATAGAGAGGCTAATCATCCAGATATCCATATGCAGTTGCATAAATACATGAGATCCATCAAACTTTCAACTCAAACTTAATAAAAACCCTTTATTTTTGCTAATTAAACATGCGATTCAGATATGCTGATCAGCATTGATCTCATTGAGCCAGAGGCATATCATTCAATCCACAAGTAAAATCGAAAGATCAAACGCAGTCCAGGTAATCTAGGATCATAAACAACAAAATCTCAAAACAAATCCTGAACTTTACCAAAACAAACCCCGATTGAGCAGCTTAGAAGTTACGCATTGCTAAGTTACTACACACACATATCCAAACACACACAAAAAGGACACGACGGTACCGTCTGAATCGTCGGAGGAGGCTGCGGAGAGGCTGCGACGACTTTTGGAGAAGAGATCCAGCGAATCATCAGAGGCTTCACAGTTGGATGCTCCATTGAGACTAAGTCCGCGCCGGTGGTGCGACGCCAGCGGGAAATTCATCCCGCCGCCGACCACCGAGTTCCGAAAGCTCCGATTCATCTCCAGCTTATGCATCAATGCGAGAACAAAACTAATTCAGTACTTCATCAGAGCCGATCGAGGAAATGAAATCCTTGGAGCTTTGTCTGAGTGCGTGCACTCACATGGAGAGATTGGATCTGTGAGCAGCTTGCAGGGGAGAGAGAGGAGATTGATTGTAGTAAGAATTTGCCGAGTTAAAAGGGGGCAAATCATGTTAGATTTCAGCAAATAAAATTTTAATTAATTTTTTTTTACTCGCAGACAGAAATGGAAGCGAGTTGAGTGGGCGCGTGTGTTATTTGACTCATTTCCCAGGCTCCACTCGCCACATTTGTTTTGTTTATCGTTTCTATCATTACTGTCAACTTTTTTTCAATACTACTTCCATCCTAAAATTAATTTCTTACTTTGAGTTTTGTAGTTAAATTTTTTAAATTTTGACCGTTTATTATAAAAAAATAAATTGAATTTTCATATAAATTTATTAGCAATAGATTCATTTTGAAACATAGTTTTGAAATATATAATTTTTATAAAATATATTTATATAAAAATTGAGATATTGATGGTTAAAGTATCGCATTAGAGACCGTAAAAAGTCAAATGGAAGTTAATTTTAGGACGGAGGGAGTAAAATTATTCTTTTTACTGTATATCTAAAGTTTAACTCGTGGTTAAAGTAAAATGTGACAATTGAAATTTAGGCTTTGTTTTGATTTGAAACGAAAATGAAATGAAAGAAAATGAGAGGAAAGAAATTGGAGAGAAATGAAAAAATAATAATTATTGTTTGGATGGGCAAAAAAGAAGAGAAAATGAGAAGAGGAAAGAAAACATGATTAAGCCAAAAGACATTAATGCTCCTGTCATAAAGCAACAAAAAAGTTAAAGAAAAAAAACATGTACTTTGTAAATTAGAAAAGAGACAAAGGGCAAACATGTAATTTCATGCATTTTCTCTCCATGTGTATGTTTTCTCTTCAAAAATGTAAAGAAAATTTTTTAAGGCTTTTTTCCACTCTTTTTCTTTGCTCTCCCCAATTTCTATTACAAATAAATAAGAAAAAAGATATAGAAACTTGTATTTTCCTCTTTGCACTTTTCTTTCCTTCCAAAATCTCCCCATCCAAACAAAGGGTTAGTCTAGTATCTGAATTTGAAATCTAAATTAGAATTGGAGTTTGGTGTCTCATAACTAAAATTTAAAGTCTCATATTTGAAGTTAAGATTCTATAGTCTAAAAACTAAAGTTTGTAGTCTGGATAATTGGGAGTCCTTGGTTCTAATGACGTTGATAATCAATGTCATAGGATGTGTTGGAATATAATGTTTAAAAGAATAAACACCTAACATGTGGCTATCTCTGTTGGATCATACAAGAAAAATGTACCTCAAATTTTAATCTATTAAAGTATCTCACGTCAGACGTTGAAAAGAAAAATAATCAGTTTATAAGCTTTTGAGTTGAACTAAGTAATGAATTAGATTTAACCTTTTAATGTGCGTGGTTCAACCCAAATATCTTATGACTCATTTCAGTGATCTTTACTCAAACTTAAATTTTCGCATAATCGTTTCATTTTTTAAGCTATACAGCTAAAACTCATTTATGTCATATAGAAAATGGCAAAAACAAACCGTGTAAAATTGATATACGAAGTACACCGCAACATTTATATGTTGTAAAACTACTTATGCAGCCAAAATGAGACTAGTACTTTTTGGAATTCAAGGAGTAGAAACTAACTAACAAGTATAACAAAATTCCCCTATAAAAGATCAAGAACAAAAGAAAAAGAATGGTGAAACTAAAGTAAAAAAGTAACCCCAATAAGCAAAGACTTGCAGTTAGGTTACCTTTTTTTCCAACGTTGCCATATCATGATGCCGCAATTGGAAAATGGCATTACGAGTACCATATAGAAGAATGTCACCACATTAAAGGAATATAAGCAAACCTTAGTGCCTCAATTGACAACAATGTTTTATCAGTACAATAGACTTAAGATCTACGGAGTACTATCTTGTTTTTCAAGTGTGTATCTACATTTTGTGTCAAGTAATGCAAACTTAATGTTTCACACAGACACAAAATGTTAATACAGATTTTTGTTACTGCACCAATATTTTGTGTCAGTGTGAACCATCTGAATGTTAATGTATACCGTTGGTGTAACTTTGGGATACACTTTTTGGTGTAAGTGTAGCATGGTTGTGAACTTAAACATAACTAAACTAGTAAATTTGATCTACTTCCTTGATCGCAATGTACACCACGGAGTAGTTTTTTTTTTTTCTTCTTATTAATTTAGGTTCTTTTCTTTTCTATGAAAGAAACTGGAACCAAGTGAACATATTTGAATGAGTAATAAAAAATTGATATGAATTGAATATATGTGAAAAAGTTAAAAAAAATGGAATGCGAGGGAAAAAAAGTTGAACCGACACTAGTACAAAAAAGGCTAATCGATCATTCTATTTGCATTGATTTTACAAACAACTGATGCAAAAGGGGGAAATAATTTCGGGAACCGGATGTTTTTTGCACCGGTTATGTATAATAACTTATTCAATAGGCAGTTGAATCGGTTATTATAAATAACCGATGCAAATGCTTACCGTCTTTTGCATCAGTTATTAATAATAACCGATTCAATTGCCAATTGAATCGGTTATTATTAATAACTGATGCAAAAGACGGTGTTAAATTAAACAACAGAGGTCTTATCTCTTCACGTGATCTCCTTTTTTCCCATCGCCACTGTTTCGTCCCTCGTCATTCTCCATGTCCTCACCGTTCTCCGTCTTTGTGTGTCCTTCGTCCTCACTGTTCGCCATCGTCCTCGTGCATTCTCCATTCGCCGTCGTCGCATCCATTGTGCGTTCACTATCATCCCTACCGGTCGTCGTCATCCATTCGCGCACACCGTCTTCCACAGTCCACCACACCACCATTTCTAAGGTTTTTTTAAATTTTCACTTTAAATCTTTAATTATACTACTCCACAGTCCACCATGCCATTATTTCCCCCTTTTGCATCGGTTGTTTGTAAAACCGATCCAAATAGAGTGATCGATTAGCCTTTTTTAGTACTAGTGTTGGTTCAACTTTTTTTCCTTCGCATTCCATTTTTTTTACTTTTTCACATATATTCAATTCATTTCATTTTTTTTCTAACTCATTCAAATTTGAATTATTATATATATAATTGAATGGATTTTGTGTTTATGTCTTAGTTGAAATGTGACATTGTGATGTTGAAATCAAATATTAAACTTGTTGGTGTTATTATTGTGATATATATTAATTACTATTTCTTTAATATACATGACCTGATATTTTTTCTATATTAATAACATACATTGACCAACTTAGATACCCGTTTAAAATTTACTCATTACGAGTAAATTTTAAATAACTCCCAGTTTTGGAGCTGTTCTTGGAATGCTTCTCTCACTTAAGTGGTGAATGTATTTCTTTTTCTTTGTTCTATCATTTTTTGGTTTGACGTTTCCTAAATGTGTTCGTTGGGTGCATATGTAACTACATTACATCGTGCACTTGGAGAACTATTGGAAAATGCTACTGAAATTTTGATAGATCAAAGAAAATGAAATACATTTACTAGTGAGAGTGACATTTCAAGAATGAGTTAGGATGGAGTAAAGAAGTATCACTTGTATAATGAAGAGATGCTGCCGGATTTAGGTAATTGATGTTGATTTTAAAGGTATCTAGAAGAACTCTAAGATATACCCATTTAGTTAGGCATTGAAGGTATAATGTCCGGTGGCCAGGGTTAAAACATACGTACGGGATCCACAAACTAAACTTGAGTACTTACTCGTTTAGGGGCACCACCCAACCCGACGGTGAGTAATCCGTTCTTCGGTTCATTGTATACCTTAAGCTAAGGCTAGAAGTACATAACGATATTTACATTTTACCTAATATCCTCTATGTGTTTGTCATTTTAATCGTGATACCAATGTTTCTATTGAATTTGACCCACAATGGCGTCTTATCTCAGATGTATGAGTAATTTAAAAATATGAAATTTATTTTAAAGTATTACTCCATCCATCTTAAAATTAATTTCTCGTTTCAATCTACGATGTAAGACCAACTTTTATTTCAATTTAATTTATTTAATTATATGTGTTAAATTTAAAAATAAATTTTATATATTTAACAATTACATCAAAAGTTATACGGAGTACAAAACAAGAGATGATATGATAATTTTAATAGCGTTATTCATGTGACATTCAATTTGAATGACATAGCATGACTCAAGCCGATTATGCGACTCCGCTGGTAAAATTATAGTTCCTACCTTCCTAACCTTTTGCCTCTTTGCACCATACAACCATTAGCTAATTGGTGATCTTAGAGGGATTGAGGGTACAATGGAGCTAGAAAGATACAGAGTATAAAGAAATATGAACCATCAATTTTTCCACTGAAATATTGGTTCAGAGTCATTTCATGACATTAGGATCAATGTTTTAAAACATAGAAGTAGAAAGAAAAACAAACTAGTTTGGGGTTGAGTGTGTCTGTTGCGAGCCAGTGAACCTGGCCAAAAACACAAACGACATCCCTCCAACCACGTTATTCAGACACCTTAGCACCCCCACAGAGCTCTTGAACGCCACCGGGCTGAGCCGCCGCTTCGCCAGCCAGAATTCGATTCCGTTCAACGCTTGGTACCTCAGATTGCTGCTGAGTGCCATGTGAGCCGCCCAGGTGGCGGCGTTCAGAACCGTCGGAGGCTGTCTGTTCGGCGCCTCGAACCCCGGCTCCGTCTTCTGCCTTATCCCGATCAGCCCGTTGGAAACGGCGGTCCCCACCAGCCCTGCCCCGAATCCGACGGCGGCGAACAGAGCCCCCTTGTAAGCGAACGTGCCCAGACGCCGGAGGACGCCGTAATTCCCGGGCTCGAACATGTGGCTCCGGGGGCAGTCCGCGAAGATCGACGGTGGAGATCGGGAGGCGGCGGTGGACGATTGAGTCGGAGCTAGGAGGTACATCAGCAGGAAATTGAGAATGGAGCTGACGATTAGAGTGGAGAAGACGAAATCGAGCTCGCCGAGGCCGAAATTAGTGCGGGTGGCCATGTCACCGGCGACGCAGGCGCCGACGCCGACCACCTGTTCCATCGCCACTTTGAACGGGAACTGAGGGTCGGCGGCGACTCTGGATCTCCAGCCAGCCAAAAAGCCTGAAAAGGGTCTGCGATCATTATTCCGGCCGGAGGCGGCGGAGGAGAATGGGACGCGTGGAATAGAAAAATGAGGATTCCGGCGACCGGAGAGACAGTGACGGCTGGGAGAGATGGTATTGAGACTCCCACGAGAAAGGGCGGTAATGGCGGAGTGGCGAAGCCGAGATAACATCGCCATGACTTTGAGAGGGAATTGCAGAATCGCGATTTTCAGAATTGTTTGAGGCCAATAAATAATGAAATATAAATGTAATTTACCCCGGGTAAATAAATTTACTCGTACATCACAATCCACCACTATAGTTTACTGGATTAGGAAATTAAAAAGTCAAACTCGATTACGAAATTAAATATCAATTCACTATTTTTAATTCTATTTATTTAATTATGGATATATAAAAATTAAAAAAAATTATATATTTTAAAAATACATCAAAAGATCTACTCTCTCTGTCCACAAATAAATTTCACATTCACTATTTACAGGGTCAAACTTTATTCTTTTTGTTGACCTATTTTCGTCACTCATTTGATAAAATAATATAGTCATATCACCTCTAGTTTTGTAGATTTATTGATATAATTTTTTAATATGTAATTTTATTTTTGAATTTTACACCATTTTTCATATAAAATGATTTGAAAATAACTTCAGTCAAACATCGTAACGCGTAACGGGAAGTTTATTTGTAGACGGAGGGAGTATATAACAAGAGGTGACATGAATATATTATTTTCTCAAATAATCTAATGAAAATAAGTAATGAAAGTAATTAAAATTTGACTATGTAAATCGTGACTGAGAAGATCATTTTAGGACGGAAGGAGTAGAAATTATAATGTGAATTAGTATTAAATAATTTTACTAGATTCATTTGTTGAAAATGTTTAAGGCAAAAAGACTAAAGTATGAGTAAAACATTGAAAAATATATCAGAATAAGACTTCCATGTTTTTTATTTCTGACATGGGAGTTAAAATGTATTTACATTACCAAACATAATCATGTACATTACCAAAAATTATAGTAAGAACATTGGAAATACTCATGAAGCCCTGGGCTTCAAACCGAGGCTTCAATTTTTCTCTCTACTACCTCATCTTTAACTTAACTCATAGATTCACTGGACATGGGTTTGAAGCCTCAGGGCTTCAAATTGGGGCTACAAACCTTTATTTTTTTACATTTTAAATAAACATCTTCTAAAACTAAATTAATAAAATTGAATTATTTAATTACTTAATTAAATTGAAATGAGAATAATTCTTAAAAAAATACATTCACTAAACTAAAAAAATAAAACGAAAATAATTCATAAAACTTGCATTCAATAAAAAAGAACATTTAATAAAAAAGATACATTAATAAAAAAAACTAAGGTGAATTATATTAGGCATTGATCTCTTTTTGTCTTCTCTCAAAAATCATACGTTTGAAACCCGATAACGTATCAAGGTCGGTTTCTATTATTCCGATCTCTTCATTCTGTTACTCTCTCTCTCTCTCTCCTTTCAACCATTGCCCAACCGATATCATCGTGAGAAAAATAGAGCTGGCCACTCCAGAACCCAAGGCAATGAATTTTACCTTCTTTCTTTCGATCGGTCGTGGAATGGGGTCCTCGTCATCGGAATCGTCTACGATGAAGGAAGGCCTTTGCTCAGATGAACTGATAGTGTCATCGACCTCAACCTCGGTGTCGACGAGTATCTTTTCTTTGAGGATCTGGGCTCGGGATTGTTTAGTTGTTGCCATTTCGCTAAACGGCTTAAAATTCTCCAAAGATCGTGGGAAGCTTGCCTTGGTGCCCGTCGTCTTGGCACCGGGCCGTGGCGAGCCGAGAACATCGGCGTCGTTCGTCTCGCTCTTCTAGGACCGAGAGCATTTCTCGTAAACTCCAATAAACTTCCAGACTTTATGGTTGATGTAACCCCATTACGAAGTTAGTTGGTCCCGATACAAAGAATTTCTCGTAAACTCCAATAAACTTCCAAACTTCCAGGCTTGTTCATCGATGCAAAGAATTTCTCCATGATACGCTCCCACATTGCATCCTTCGTTTGCGCCGAACTTTTAAAAAGTATATAATTGAACGAAAAGTTTTAAAATATAAATATATAGCACAAATATTTTAGAAAATATACTCCCTCCGTCCGGAATTAAACTTCCCATTTGGACTTTTTCCCATATTTTTGAAGTGTTGACTTTAGGATGGAAAAGTCCAAAATACCCTTCCCCCAATTGTCCCCACCCACTACCCTGCCTTTTGCTCTCACCATTTCCGTCAATAGCACTGCTGCGGCAGATCCAAAACCACCGTCGACCCCCCGCAATCCCCACAGCCCCCACAACCACTTCAGCCCCTAGATCTTCCCAGACCTTACAGATTTAGAAGACAAACAAATAGGAGAAAAAGGGGAATAAGAAGAGGAAAAAAAAAGATGAATTGATTTAGAAAAAGAAAAGAGGGATGAGAAAGAATTGGGGGAGAAGTAAAAGAATAAGAAGAAGAAGAAGAAAGAGGAACAGATCTGGACGGAAAAAGGAGGACGAGAAAGAAGGGATGGGAGGAGGAGGAGGAGGAGAAGAAAAAGAAGAAGAAGGAATAGATCTGGAGAAAAAACAGGGTGAGAAAGAACTAGGGAAGAGGAAGAAGAAGAAGAAGAATGAACGGATTTGCAGGAGGAACAATTGTGGAGAGAAGAAAAGAAGAAGAAAAAAAGAGAAGAGAAAGGAAAGAGAGGAGAGAGGCGAGGAAGGGAGGAGAGAGAAAAGGGGAGGGGAGAGATAGGGTGAGTATTTGTAAGTGGGGGGTATTTTGGGTAGTTAGTGTATAAAAAATTGAAATGGGAAGATTATTTCAGGACGGAGAAAAAGGAGAAATGGGAAGATTATTTCCGGACGGAGGGAGTATAATTTTTACAAATAATAGGATGCTCGAAGACGTTGACCCGAGCTGAATCCAACAAGATCTCTTCCCCCCGGCATCCACTTTTGGAATGACCGTGCCGCCTCGGTCATCGGTTTGTTGCCTTTCATTTTTTGACTCTCCCAACGTGCACTTTTTTTGGTTTCCGATGGTTCCAGTTGAGTCTCCAGAACTGACTCCGGGTCATCGAGAACCGGATGTTTTTTATATTTATATAAAAAAAATAATTGCGTCAAACGTTTGATGCAATGCAGCGACGCCCGGATGACGCCCCAAGAGGGGCGGTATTTAACGCCAAAGAGGTGTTAAATCCCCCATGGCGGCCCCAGCGTCACCCCCATATCCACTGCTCTAATGTGCAAATGTACAGTGTCACATTACAACTACATTAGCATAGTGTAAAGTCTTATTTCGAAAATAAAAATATGGAACTCCTATTTTGGTATTTTTTTCAGTGTTTTAGTTCTATTTAGGGTGAATTCTAAATTTTTAAATTTGATTTTATTATATTAATATGCAATATAAATTGAAAGTAGTTAATGATTAGAATTTTTCTATTTTAATTTGAAAAAATCAAATTAAAGGAATATAGTATCACTCAATGGGAGTATTTTATATTAGGGAGCGTCTAAAATGACACTAGTTACTTATACACCACTTGCTTACACCAGTTCGTTTAGTGTACCTACGGTGCTCCGTTTGTAAAAATGACTGTTTCTATCCCTCCTAACCCTCCCCCTAAACCCCCCACCCCAGCCCCACCCTTGCCCCCCACCCCAGCCCCCCTCTCGCCCCCTCCCTACCCTGGCAGTATATACTGCCAGGGTAGGGAGGGGGTGGGAGGGGGGCTGGGGTGGGGGGGCAAGGGGGAGGGTTAGGGGGGTAGAAACAGTCATTTTTACAAACGGAGCACCGTAAGTATCCCAAACGAACTGGTATAAGAAAATGACACCAATAGCACTAGTGTCATTTTAAACTCACCGTTTATATTAAATGAATGACCCTCAATAAAATTTGCCAAAATGTGAGGTGTTTGGTGTACACCCCTTGTACTGTTGTACAATGTGGTACAGATACACACAAATATTAATTATTTATACACACACTAATAAGTATAAACTAAATTCATCATGTACACCTAGCATTGCCTAAGAAATTTAAATGTAATATTTAAATAAATTTACATCACGATCCTCTACCACAGTATATATAAAAAGTCAAACTGCTTTCGATCTTAATTAAATAAAAATTGTAATACATAGTATAAATTCATATAAAAATAAGAAAAAAGACTAAAGTAGGAATAAAATATTGAAAAACATACCAAAATAAGAGTTCTATGTTTTTATTTTCTAAATAGGAGTTAAAATACATTTACATTACCAATCATGACCATGCATATTACCAAAAAGTATTTAAAAAACGCTTATGTATGTTGCAACATTACCACAATGCGAATTCCTATTTCAGAAATAAAAATATAAAAGTTTTATTTTGGTACTTTCTCTATTTTTACTCCTATATAGAGTGATTTCTTTAAAAATAATTTTTTAGATTTTTTTATTAAATATTTTAAAATTTAACTTCATTAAATTAATATATATAATACAAATTGAAAGTTGTTGATAATTAAAGTTTACCTATTTTGATTTCAAAAAGTCAAATGGAAGAAATAGCATAGTAAGAAGGTGGGAATATTTTATATCAAATGAATAAGCCACAATGAAATATACTTCCTCCGGTCTAAATTTTTTTTCTTTTATTGATTTTTTGGTTAAATAGTGACACTTTGTTATTACAAATTATGAAAAAAGTATATTTAATTATAATATAAATTTAATATATTTAGATTCATCTTAGCATATTGTTTTGGTATATCAAATTTTTATATTATTTACTTATTTAGATTATATTTAGTTTGTGGTAAAAAAATATCACTATTTAAAATCAAAATCGAAAATGATTTTAGGGCGGAATGAAATAATAAATTTGACTAGTTTATTTTGAGACGGTAGGACGGAGTATTGAGTTAGTTGAACCGTATTCCATGCACTAACACATATTTACGGAGCAACTAAATATGTTTTTTTTTTCTGTTTAATAGACCTAAAGTGTACATTATGTTTGGTAGTTCTTCAGTTCTTCTTATATGATGTTTTGTACATTATGTTTTGTCTAAGCAATATGTATTTTTTCTTCCTTTTTTGTAAAATAAAAAATGCTTATCAAGCAAGTAAGTAATTGCTTATCTTTCTCATATAAAAAATCCAGTAAAAATTGTGTAGACCTTAAATCTAATATAGTATTTACCTTAATTGTTACTTTCTTGGTCCCAATTTAAATCGGTTGTTTTGGTTTATAATATTTGACTTAAATTATTTTAAAGTCATTTTCTATTAAAAACATTGTAGAACTAAAAAAAAATAAAATTTACATATTTAAAAATTGCATTAAAAGATCTAAAAAAACTAGTTATGATATTATTTTATTATTTTATTAACTAACTAACAAAAATAGATAAAGAAGATAAATAAAATTTGATTATGTTAATAGTAAACGCACAATATATATTCACATTAGGCACAATCTTGGAGTATTTAGCAATTCTTGTATGATGTTTGGTTAAACTAATTGCTTGGTAGATGAGACTGATATTGTTTTTACAAAAAACAGATACTCCCTCCACGTGAAAATATTTGCCACATTATGCAAAACGGAATAAAATTATAAGTTTTTTAAATTTACTTATTTGAAGATGGTAAAAAATTTAAAAGAAAAATTTATATATTTAAAAAAATGTAAAAAGTTGTTTAAAACAAAATGTGACAAGAATATTTTATTTTATCAAATAATCGATGAGAACATACAAAAAAGAAAAATACTCGTAATTTTTTATTAGTGAGTTGTAACATTTTTTTAGATAGAGGGATTATGATTAATACTCCCTCTGTCTCATAATGTTTGCCACATTTACTTTTCTAATAGTCACGGAAACTTTAGTTTATTTGTACATTTTCATTGATTATTTGTTAAAGTAAAATATTTTTGACACCACTGATTTCAAAAGAAAATTCATGTAGTTTTTAAATATGTAAATTTTATTTTTTATTATATCAATACTTAAAAAAATTGAAAAAACTTAATATTTTACCTCGTCATTTGAAATACATTTTCACCCTTGAAACTTAAATTACTCCGTAATTATCCTTGTCAAAATCATCCCCGGCCCCCAAACATGTATTCTCTCGTCATATTGTTTTTTCTCGTTTGACTTATCACTTTAGATAAATGAAATTTACGCGGTGTTCCATTCACTTAATCTGATCTGATTTTTTAAAATTCTAATTTGATTTGGCCTTATATAATCTTATTTGATTTGATTGAATTGGATCTGATCAAATCTTATCTGATCTGATTGAATGTGATCTAAATTGGATCTGATCTGATGTTAATGGATCTGATTAAATCTTATCTGATTGAATGTGATCCAAAAAAAATAATGATCATTCATACTATAATACAATCAATAACTTTTATTCTAAAATTTTTAGATTTATGAAATAAAATAATCAATTCATATATAAATTAAAACAGAAAATAGTCAACAATAACCAATATTTAAAAAATTTAATCATTTACTTTTTAATATTCAAAATAGTAAGAGAGAGTAGCAATAATAAAATATCCAATCATTAGAAAACATGAATGTTATGCTACAAAATATTACTACGTTTTTTCTACATCTTACATAATAGATTTACATTGAAAAATATGAATATGAAATTTGTATGCTACAAAATATAACGTTTTTTCCTAAATTTAAAACAAAAAATAGACGTTTATGTGTATAGTTGTTGCAAGCACTACTTTCGAATCTTAGACTCTTAGTTTCATGATACCTAGTGGAGGGTGTGGAAACTGAAGTTTTTGTTCAGACAAGCTATGGCTCCATACGGTTATGTCATTAGCACTACCTTCGGATCCGACATTGACAAATGTAAAAATACTATCAAATAATAGGTTGCATTAATAATAATAATAATAATAACAACAACAACAACAATAATAATCATAATAATAATAATAACAATAATAATAGTAATTAATTAGGGTGAGTTTTATCCTTTTTCATGACTAGACATTTGCTCTATGACTCCATCCATCCCTTCCTACAATTTGATGATAATAATAGTAATTCTGATTGGATCGGATTTGACCTGATTTGGTTTTAATAAGAATAAGTAATAAGCAGAAAAAATAAGTTGAACTTAGTACTGCCTTAATTGACTTTACTAAAATGTGATCTGTCTAGATTTAAATCATTTGTCACTCTCATTGTACTCTTGGTCAAGGATGCTAATACAATTTGATAATTATTGATTTTATGGGATAATGAAGATTTTACCAGCATATATAGATGGATTTCCTGACTAAAATAGAAATACAAATAATATATTAAGGTCAAAGTTAACAAACTTTCACTGTAAAAAGTCAAATAGAAAGATTACTTCCAGATGAAGGAAGTAATTAAATATATCTCATATAATTTCCTCGTATGCTATTTACTTAACGATAATGGGGAGTTGTTTGAAGCAAAAGTACTTAAAAAGAGCTGGAAGAAGCAGTTCATGAGAATATTTATTAGTTTCCTGGTAGAAGGAAAATGATTAGTAGTTATGATGCCACCCATGAATTCATGACGTACAAAGTGACAATCAGAACTAACATGTTTTATTTCGTCATGTAGAATTATATTCTTAGTGACACCAACATGCTTCATTCGATCATGAACTTCATTGGATTGATGTCTTTCCCCTTAACTAGTTAGACACTTGGTCAATTGGTACATTCTTCCCTCTATATTCCCTTCTTTTAAGATGTTGGCTAGAGAAAGGTGGAAGTATAATCATTGTGACCTCTATAGAGCTTTGAGCTTCAGCCTTCGTATGGGGGGGGTGAGGATTCTCCTTAATTCTTCGTCTTTTATTCTCGGGGACATGAAAGTTGTTCCCTTCATACTTCACTGAGCAGGAGGCTTTTCTCTGGCCATTTGAAGCTCATCGACTAGCTTCTAGCTTGCTTTTTGGAGAGACTGATTGACATGTCTTCTCTTATAGAGAAAGGAGGTTACAAGCTTAGAATACAAAAATGAAATATATCTTAAATGTCTAGGATAAGTGTAGAATGTGTGGTGCTTACCTGCTCCTCTCAGGGCTTCGTCATTGATAAGAGGATAACTAGAGGAGCAACCTTGTACACAACATCACCATTGCCTTACATCAATATTTTAGGGATGGTATTATGATGCTCGTAATACACGATGGTGTTGAGCTTCTCCAGTTTATGTTTTGTGACAAAGTTGTTTATTTGGAACCAGAGTGATGCGGCACAAAAAAAAGCTCTACATAAAACTCCATCTCGGACTTATTATCATTATCAATAAGAGCTAGAAATTGGAGGAATGTAATAGTGCCCATTGACAGAAAAGGGATAGTGTTGTTCAGAAAGTCAGACACAAGCATACCTATTTTGCAATCGTGATTCCAGGACAATATCTCTAAGATGGGATAGTTTGATCGAGTAGAGATGATTGCAAAAGGCATAAACACTACAAAAAAGCAGCCTAAATTGCTACAGAAACAATCTGTCGCAAAAGAGCATTTTTCGCAGTAGATTTCTCAATTGCGACAGATTTGATATGGAAAATCACTGTCACATATGTTTTGACTCTGTTCCTCCACTTATAACAGAAACCAGCGTCCGTAGCTAACCTTGCGACGAGCAAATGACTTTTTTGTAGCACACATGAGGTCTGGGATTTGCAACAGAAAGGAACTCCGTAGTAGAAGTTGCGACGGATCAGAGACATTTTTTTAATTAGTTCAGAGGCTTTTTCTGCGACAGAAAACAAATCCATAGCAGATCCATAGCAAATGCAATAGTAACACATAAGTGGAAATAGAAACATTTGTTGGATATACCAACCAAGTACATAACCAATTCAATAGGGGGATTGCACTAGGAAAATAACATCTAACGTCTCTTCTAATTATACGAAACATACATTATTACTTAAAACTTAAAATATTCAAGAAATATTTGCACTAAATAGCACTAAAACTTAAGTCATTTTCCTAAATAGCACCTAAACTATTTTATTCTCTAAATAGAATTTAATAATGTCTAGAAGGAGGAATAATGTACAGTGATGACGAATATTTACTTGAATAATGACTAATGGATAATAACTACAAGTGCTACATTGGGAAAAAAACACATATGGTGCTATTTAGGGAAAGTCCTTATGTTTTAGTGTTATTTAAGTAAATCCCCCAATATTCAATCCACCAATCGAATTACTAGTCTTAAAACAAAATAAAAGTACACAAGTTTGAAATGTATATAAATAACAAAAAAAAGAGTTTTTAAAAATATTGTCAATGAGCTGAACCAGGTTTCCCTACACTTCCCATCTCATTGTTACGATCATTTGGATTCGAGAGATATCCACCATAGACTTATGCAGTTCTTCTTGATTTGACATATAAAGGCTACACTCAACACTATCGATTCGTTGCTTCAGCTTCTCAATTTCGATTCTCAACTCTTCAATTCCGCAAGATTTTTTGTACATTTATAATGTTGAGAAGGTGGTTTTGGCTTCATCATCTTACACTCATAGTCCCCAACGCCCTTGACATGGTTTTTTGCATCGTGTCCCTGAACTAGCTCATACCACAATGTTGGTTCATCAACAACCAAGACCTTTTCCAATGTAGCTGCTTTACGAGTTTGAAAATCAGCTTGTAATTTAAAATCATAACTTTAGAACACAAATATATTATTCTAACACTAATTATCTTTAAAACATAAAAGTGTTATTGTAACACAATTGGCAAAACAAACACAAATATCTCATTCTAAAACAATTGACAAACATCAAACATATACCATACCTTTAAATCACAGTTATGTAATTCTAATACAATCCACAAGCAAAAAACATAAACCATAACTTTAAAATAAAAATATGTAAATTAACACAATTGACAAACTATTTTATATACATTACTAAAATCAATGTATTCAAGCACAATTACTTACAAAGTTTTATATTCTCACAAATCAAGGGGTGAAATTTAATTAATAAAGTATCAGAACTTGAGCAAAATCATCATCTATCTGGTTCTCACCATCATGCTTATTCTTGGTTTTCGTATTTTTAAAGCCTCCACAACAGGTGATGTACAACCCAGTTTTAAAGCCTACAATATTCATCAAATAAATATATTGTTAAATTATTAATAAGCACAATAATACGTTGCATATGTTGTATTGTATTACACTATATGTTACCAATCGTGTTAGATGCGCGGTAAACAAAATTGACCCCCAAGTATAGCTCCTTAATAGGGGACCCTCGGCCTTGCCCTTTTTTCTATTCACTTTTGACGAACGAGTTTTAGTGGTAATAAATCTTCCCAAAAAGAGTTAATTTATTCCCATGTCATATTCAAAATGATTGGAACGAAATAAATTTTTCTATTAAAATTAGTTAGGCACAGAGTATACTCATTGGTATTAGAAGTCTTCTAAATTCAAATTTAATTGTTTGATTAAGACGGAGTAACAGTTTGATTTGATTGATGATGGTAAAAAGGGAATATGAATTGATTTCAGCTACTGGAGATTGTTTAGATACTTTAACTAGTTGGAATATTAAATTAACAAATTAATTTGGCTAGTGAGAAGTTCTGTTACAATTACTCCATTAATTTAACATTTCTCTAGATATTATTAATGTATTAGTATTGGTTGATTAAATTATTTTTCACATTATTAGACAAATGTACATAAGAATTCTTCAAGTATTAATTAACAAATTGGCTTCATAAATTAATTAAAATTTGGGGTCATTCCAAACCTATTTATGCACAATATAACTTATGTTACAAGTGTAAATTTTAAAATTTCAAATAGATGGTATATAATTGAATATTTAAATCACAAATGTAAACTACCTCTTTCCGTATATTATATGTAAGCATACGATATAGGCATGTTGTCCTTTTAACAAAATTTAACAAAACCCTTCTTTAATGTAGCTGAATGTACGTACAGTGGAGAAGAGTGCATAATCTTAGAATCATGTATGGGTGTGAAGCTGTGAGGTGGACTTGAGAATCATTGCCTCCTATACCTGATGAACCAACCTAGCTAGTCCCCACCCCAGTATCCTTGCTCGAGGATAACCTCTGCATCAGGAGTCTCAGCATGTTATGAGTCGAAGCTGACACACTTTGTTGTGATACCGGGTGTAACACCCCGACCCACCTAACCCAAATACACAGACTAGCATGTCATAAGTACAATAATTTTAAAAATAATTTAGAATAAATAAACTCACAATATAATTCAAGTATTCATCAGAGTAATTAAAAATATTGTGGAAGCTCAAGTACTTAAATCAAAATACAATTCTGCTTTCTTTTCCCGAAAACATATTAAATTGAAATATAGTATTAAATTAAGTAAACTCTTTCACCCAGCATTCATCCATCCCTTTATCCTCATGACCCTCTAGTATTGGTTCCTAATTCAGTATTTTGTTACCTACATATACCTAGGGTTGTTCACGTTTAGGTTTGGACCGAAAAAACCGATTGAACCAGACTGTTAGGTTCAATTTTCTATCCAATTCAGTCCAAACCCGAAATGATTCAAGTCCGGACTGATTGTACCAAGTAACCCTATTTGACCTAAAAGACCTAAATGCTAAAATTCTACTTTTTAAGTTCCGTATTACACTTTGATGTTCTATTTTAATAGATATCTTAATTTATTTAATTAAAAAGGTTTTTATTAAGTAATTTAAAAAAAACAAAATAAAAAATGTTTCACATTTGTTTTTACGATTCTACATAGAAATAGTCCATGTTGTGTATCTATTTTAAAGTTGTCAATTTTTATTTTTTTCTATTTATACGGTATAAAATAAATAGCTTAAAATATATTTAATTGATCAAAATCATTTAAAATATATATTTTTATAAGATCCAATTAGTCCGAACTAGTTTGGTCGTAAGTATTTCTGTCCGGTCCGGTCTAAACTTGAATAAATTTAGGTCCGGTCTTTGAGCTATGATTTTACTTAATTCGTTCTACGGTCCCGTCCAAGTCAGTCCGGTTTGGTCTTGTCTTGGACCGATGAACACCCTTACGTGTAGCAAGTGAAACAAACTACACGCTCAGCTTTCATGCTGAGTGAGAGGTTTTAACAATAGAAGTCACACATAAGATTAATTCAACATACATGATCATTCAGAACATTCCATACACAAGTAATATCACATACAACATCAAATGATATCAACTATATCAACAATTCACACAACATGATACTTACCTGGGCTCTTCAGTTGCAGAAGTTATTAACCCAATTAACATTCACGTTCTTACAATAGCTCATCTCCAATACTAGATCACAACCTATTCTAAGCTAAGGCCAATTCTTCATTATCCACAATCTTATCGTAGGACTAAGAGCCACTACCTACGACTATGACTCAAGTCTAATCTATGACATCAAAACCACTACCTATGGCCATGATTCTGGTCAACCCGGTACCTACAATGCCGGTTGGGTGGAACCTCCAATCCTATGGATCGGATCCTAGATTCCATGTATGCACATCTTTATCTAACTGCCAATGGACACTAAGTTTACAAGCTCTACAACCCACTGACAACTTACAATCTCAATCTCCACAACGTAGTTCTAGAACTCTTCTAAGTAACCTATGTCATTAATCACTTCAAATATTCAGATTAAAGCTAACCACATCATCACTTTAATTTACTCAGTCAAGGCATATCAAGATTATATTAAAAATATAGAAAGAGGAAAACAAAAATAAAATAATCATCATATTAGACAAATAGAATCCTAGAGTCGGGTTTAAACAGCTTCCACTTACCGCCATATAGCACAGAAGGTCTCGGAATCAGTCTGTGACTTGATTGGAACAACAAATACGCAAAGCGGGGTTTTCAGCACCGGTCACGGTACCTCAATACCATCTGGCGATACCTTGGTACCGTCAGTCCGGTACCCACCGACCGTCCGACACAGGTACTGGCCGAGGATTCTACTCTGTGGCGGTAGTCAGGTATTGTTAAACGGTACCTAGCTACTATTTGAGTTGAATGTTTCAGCGGAGAACAGATACATTGTTAGACCTCAAACGATTAGATGAATTAATCAAAACAAATCATCGGTTCAATCGACAGAGAAGGTGGTGGCAACGCGGCAGTTCCCAGCAAATGGCGGTGGCACCGCAGATCGACAATGGCTTCAATAGCGGCGTGCTCCTATCCTCTTCACAGTCAGCTCTGATCTTTTCTTGTCTCGCGGCTCTGTTCTCTCTGTTCTCTACACGTACTCCGTATTTGTTTTATCCCCCAGCAATAATACTCCACATACTAATATATTTTTAGATTTTGGGAAGGGTTCGGGCTATTGTGGGTAGGCATAGGTTTTAGTAAAATTTATATATTTAATATAATTTTATTATAAAATATTTATATTTAATTATTGAACTTTAAGATCTATTCCGCGCACAACTTTTTACACATTAGCCCAAACTTAAAAAACTACCTACTGTTGGCCACCTCTTTACGAGATCTGCCCAACTACCTAATTTCTAAATTAAAAGACTAACTTTACAAGTAACTCATATTTTTTAGTTAAAAAATAGTGCCTTATTCTTACCCCTCTTACATGTATATAAGGGGAGGCGGAATCTCTGTAACAATCATCGAAAAATCATAATTCTTCAAATAGTATATTTTTATTTTTATCAAAATAGCAGCTAACTACTAATCCGTTTTTCGGGTTGTTACATTGGCTTCTTCCCCTTTTTCTTGTTGCCGCTCATCTATACATGTAAAATAAATTAGTGAAATTTTAAATGACTTAGATTTAAAAATATAACAAAATGACAACTTTAGATTAAACATTCAATAGTTGATATCATATATTAGATGAATCACCATATGTCATATCTATTAAATCTTCTAAATCTTTGGAGCTTAATAATAGCTCATCCTCCATCTCCTCATTAGTCCCAACTGCAAACCTTTAGTCGAGGTTGCAAACCTTCTCAACTAATCCAGCCGCAAACCTTCAGCCGTCGGCCATATTGGTCCTACAATCCAGCCGATTATCATGACAAAAGAATCGGATCCCTTCGACAAACTTCCGGGCGGGTTGAAGCTCTTCCTACGGAACCTTCATTCTCTTGTTCCCACAAAATTAGAGGACAAGAATTTCCCGTCATGGTCGTCAACAGTTAAGGCGACTCCCACTGCTCATAGGCTTCTTGGATATGTGGACGGTACAGAAGGTGCACCACCAACAACCGTACCAGACGAAAAGGCCACAATCGACAAAGGCCCTGTGATGAAATCTAACCCGGCCTATGATCAGTGGGTCGTGATTGATGCTCAACTACGTTATTCTCTTCTAACGCTCCTCTCCCTGGCTGTCCAAAACCTTGTGTATCATTGCACCACTACGGTTACGTTGACACTTGGAATCATCTACATCAGGGGTATAATTCATTATCCCGGACTCATATATTTCAACTCAAGGAAAAACTTCATAATCTACAAAAAGGACAATCTAGCAAGCAAAAATATCTTGATGAAGTGTTGCAAATTGTCAATTCTCTTGCCCTTGCTCGTGAACCTGTCCCAGAACAAGATATTATACTCTATATCTTGTGTGGTCTCCCGTCTGAATATGCCTCTCTTAAACAAAATATTCGGACGAACATTGCTACGGTCACTCTTAACACTATCTCTTCTTGGCTACTATCTCAAGAACTCAATACTCAGCTTGAACAAAAACTTCATCTTGGTACATCCTCAAGTTCTTCAACGGAGGTTTACACAACACTTTATGCCTCCAATGGAGGCTATTTTTCGCCACATTGGCGTGGCTGTGGACGGTCCGGCAGTGGTAGAGGAGCAGGCCGCAACGGCAACTGCGGTCGATTTCAGTCTAGCCGTGCTGGAGGCCGAGGGCGAGGGCAGACCCGTGACGATCTAGTCGTGTGTCAAATTTGTGGAAAATTCAATCATACTACCTTACGATGTTGAAATCAATTCAATGAAGATTTCTCTGAGTCCTCTCAGACCAACAAGAGTAATCAGGCTTTTTATATTGCATACTCTACTAGTCGTGGTCCGAATTGGCACTTAGATTCTGGAGCAACGACTCACGTGACTTCTGATTTATCAAGACTGCAGAATTCCATCCCTACCAAGGCACCAATTATGTCTCCACTGCTAGGGGACAGTCTCTACCAATTGCTCATATTAGCTCAGGTCAGGTTACCACACATATAAGTACCTTTACTATATCTAACCTTGTCCATGTCCCTACCTTAAACACCCATCTTTTGTCTGTTCATAAATTCACCACTGACAATAATTGTTCTATTCTCTTTACCTCTAAGGACTTTATGATCCTGGATAATTATTCCAATCAAGTGATCTACAGAGGCCCATGTGAGCATGGTCTATACACCCTTCTTATTGCGTCAAGTCCAAGTTAGTTTTCGTCAGTCGCGGCTCCACTTCTGGCAAATGCTGTGACAACTACATCCCATTAGTGGCACTGTCAGCTTGGTCATCCATCGTTTCAAGTTACGAAGTCTCTGTTTTTAAAGTTAGGTTTACGTCAAAAGTCAGATTTATTTCATTGTGAGTCGTGTTCTATGTCAAAGTCGCATAAGCTACCCTTTTCTTTGTCTCAAAGTGTAACTACTGAACCTTTTCAATTAATTCACTCTGATGTTTGGGGTCCTACTTCTGTTTCATCCTTTGGTGGATAGCAGTTTTACATTAATTTTATGGATGATTATTCTAAGTATTGCTGGATTTTCCCTTTTAAAACACAAATCTGAGGCTTTTGGGGCTCTTCAGAGTTTTCAATCTATGGTACAAAATCAATTTGGCAAAATATTAAAATTTTTTGTACCGATAATGGTCTTGAATATGTTAATCATAAATTTGGGAGTTTTTTCTACAACACCTAGGCGTTCTTCACCATAAAAATTGCCCCTATACACCGGAGCAAAACGGGGTAGCTGAGCGAAAACATCGACACCTCATTGAAACTCTTCTTACTCTTCTTTATACAGCCTCCCTCCCTGCTACTTTCTGGGCTAAGGCTTTGGCCACTGCAAATTATCTTATTAATCATATGACAAAGTGCTCTCTCCAGCACAAGTCTCCCTTTGAAGTTTTACATCACACACCACCTGACTATACTCATCTTCGTGTTTTTGGTTGTCTTGTGTATCCCCATCTCCGTCATGAGATTGATCACAAGTTACAACCTTGTTCTAAACGTTGTGTCTTCTTGGGCTATGAACAGTTATCTAAAGGATATCGGTGTTATGATCCCTCTACCAATCGTGTCTATATTTCTCGTCATGTTCAATTTCATGAGTCAATTTTTTCCGTATAAGGTCTCTACTTCATCGTCATCTGAGTCACCCTACTTTGGGGTTCTACCCATATTTCCACCCTCTTCGGTGTCTACGCCTGCTCACATGGACCCCTCTACCTCATCCTCTCAAACCACACCGACCATCCCTCCCAGATTTGCAGCCAACCCGCAACCCCCTTCCTTCCCGCCAACACAGCCACTGCCCTCCACGGACCACCATCCCTTTCGGCCTTTACCTTTATCCTCCCGAGAACCCACCTCCCCTCTCACCTCTATAAACAACCCAATCCCCACTCCCACACCATCCCTCATATCGAGCCCACCCACCACTCCATCTCCTAATATTCCTCCGGCAGCCCCTTTACCACAACCAACTCATCCCATGATCACCCGTGCTAAGCATGGCATATTTAAACCCAAACTTTATACTCTTACCTCTTCCTCTTCTCCCCCTGTCCTGAGCCTACCACATATAAAGAGGCTTCCCAGAGTGAGAATTGGTGTTGTGCTATGGATGAGGAATACTCAGCATTGATCAAACAGAACACATGGGTGCTTATTCCCAGACCTAAGGGTTGGTCTCCGATTGGGTGCAAGTGGGTATACAAGATAAAGCGAAACCCTGATGGGTCTGTTTCACGTTACAAGGCAAGGTTGATCGCCAAGGGTTATACTCAAGAATATGGCTTGGACTACTCTGACACATTTAGCCCCGTTGATAAGCAACAAACCATTCGTCTTGTTCTTGCTCTTGCTCTTTCCTATCAATGGCCTTTTCACCCATTAGATGTCACTAATGCTTTTCTTCATGGTGAAGTTGATGAGGAGCTCTATATGACTCAACCACCGGGCTATGTTGATCCACGCTTCCCTGGGTATGTCTGGAAATTGACAAAGTCCTTATATGGGCTCAAGCAAGCACCGCGGGCATGGTATCTGCGATTATCTACCTTTCTCTTTGCCTATGGTTTTCGGAAGAATGTACATGACACGAGCTTGTTCATTATGCATAGTACAACTGAAACTCTTATTTTGCTTGTATATGTGGATGATATTATCGGCACAGGCAGTTCCTCCATCCTTGTTCAGTAGTTCATCACCCGTATTTGCAAGGAATTTCAGACAAAACATCTTGGTCCTCCCGAATATTTTCTTGGGCTCGAAGTATGCCGCACAGGGCGATCTCTTGTTCTCTCACAGCGTAAATATGTGGCCGAACTCTTACAGCGTGTTTGAATGGAGGATTGTCACCCGTCACCAACACCACTGCCTGTTCGGCCAGCGGAAAATGAAGGGGGTGAACGGCCATTTGGTGATCCCACTTTGTTCCGCAGTCTTGTTGGTGGCCTTTAGTATCTCACCACTACTCGTCCTGATATTCAATTTGCTATTAATTATGTTTGTCAAAGAATGCATGCTCCCAAAGAATATGTTTTTCAAAGCTTGAAACAGATTCTTCGTTTTGTCAAAGGAACACTTGATCGAGGTCGTATCTTTCAGGCAGGTGATCTCCAACTTTGTGCATACTCTGATTCAGATTGGGTGAACGACATGACTGATGGCCGCTCTGTTACATGGTATCTTGTCTATTTAGGACCAAACTTAATCTCCTAGAGTACAGAGAAACAAACTTGTGTATCCAAGTCGTCTACTAAGGCTGAATATCGGGCACTATCTGCTGCTGCATATGAGGTTATGTGGTTGACCTATCTTTTAACTGATCTTCGTGTGTCTACTCCACCGCCTCATCTTCTATGCGACAATCAGCTAGTCTGCCATATGCCTTACCAAGAATCCTGTCTTTCATAAGCGTATGAAGCATGTGGGGACACACTGCCATTTTGTTCGAGAACAATTCATTGCTGGGACTATGGGTGTGTCTCATGTTTTCTCTGAATATCAGTTAGCTGAACTACTCACCAAAGCTTTACCCTTGCCACGTTTCCAGAGTTTAGTATCCAAGCTTCCACTCGTTACATGTAGTTCAGCTTGAGGGAGAATGTTAGACAATCATAATTAGTGTATATGTTATATGTTTGTATTTTAGGGTATTATTATGATTCCTTTATGTGTTAGGAGTTCTCTCCTATTTATACACGTGATATTCTCCATATTGAAATCAATATAATTATTCTAATTTTACAATAGTACTCAATGTCTAGTATCTCCTCTAATAACCCGTAATAGTCGTTGTAGTCCCCTATAATTGAGAAACCACTATTGTATGTAAACTGCTTTAAGCCATGTTTTTCTGTGTGGAATCGACTCCCTCCTAAAAAGTAAATTGGATATGTGTCCATGAATGATAACAGACCTCAGGCTAGGATAATACAAAAGGATTTACATATTATCCACATACACCTAATGTCCAAATTCAATTTAGTTAATTATTTTAAAAAATGTAAAATCATCTTAAATAACGTTCAAATTATGATGTAGAATATTCTCGCTCTCGTTTCATTAGAGCTTCTTGACTAATATTCGATGTGGACTTTTTAATCTCATATATGTACAATGTGAAAATTAAGTATGAAAATACCAATATAACTTTCTAATATTTCTTGATGATGAGTAGAAAAAATAATATACTTACTCAAAATAAGGCTCAATCTCTAGGCAATTGAGGAGTATGTACAAATGTGTTTCCCTAAGCGCTTTCACCGTTAGACGTCTTTTACCCAACTTTCTCTTTAAACAATTCAGACTTTAAAATATAGAAAGATTGTTTGGATCTAAATCAAAACAGTCACAATCATCATTGCGCGGTGCATTTTTGGCTCGAGTGTATACATATTCTTCATAGTAATGAAAATCAAAAAAGAAGCTTCTTTCACTTTATACGCATAAGAAATTGAGCCTTCAGGCAATTAAGGTACCTACAAGCATCTCATTTTGTAGTTTACATAATATAATATTAGATACACATATATAAAGAACGAAATGAAAATATGAACAAGTACCTCACGAATGGATACATCCACCAAAATTGAACTAGTCCAGCAACCCTCGCCTATACGACAAATGAATGCTAAGATGCTCCATACTATTAAAGAACCCTAACAGAAATATTGTTTCCGACATGGATAGTATGATGAGAATATCTTTCTCTAACCTTTTGAGATCCTCTACAGATTAGGTATTCACGTCAAGGTCTTGAAGTAATTACTCAATTCTATGATTGCTTCTCAAACCACCTTGGGTAGATGTTCTTTAAAACCAATAGGTAATAACCTTTTCATAAACGCCTGACAATTATGACTCTTCATTCAAAAAAAATTGAGCTTAATTAGATTGACAAATCTTCCTAAGTTAGAAACAGAGCCATTAGGAAATGTTTACTCTTTCACCTAATCTAGAAATGCTTTATGTTGGCTTTTATCTAGAGTGTAACAAGCTTTTGGGTATTCTCTAGTACGAGGGTCATGCTCCAACTCTCTTTTGGAGCAAAACTGTTTCATATCCTCTCTAGATTTTCCAATGCATTTGGTTTTGCATTATACATCCATTACGGTGTGGAAAACATTCTCAAATACAAAACATTTTTCAATATGCATTACATCAAGATTATAACGTCTCATATTACTCTTTGTGTAAGGCAAATCCCAAAATATACATCTTTTTCTCTACCCGCACGAAGTAGCCTTGAAAATATTTGTGTTTGTGGGTGCTTTGAGAATTTCAGCTGTGATGGAATTTATATTTTCAGTGTATCAAATAAGTTATAATTTCAGGTTCTTGTGATGCAGTTTATAATTTCGGTTTATAGAATACATTTATGGCCTAACCAAAAACACATAACACATAAAATACAACAATAGTACACATAAAATATCAAACATTACACTTTTGTCGCGCCCAAACATTACACACATACACTTACATATAAAACACATCAACTAATCCATAAAAGGCTTTTTCAATGTCTTCCAAAGTACGCACATACGCCGACACACAACGCATGCAAACCAATCAACAAATGACTAATTTTGGTGCTTTTTTATAGTCTTTATCTGTTGTCTTAGTTGCTTGTTTTTCTTCTCCACAACATTGATCCTCTTCAACAAGTCAGGAATAATTCTTATCACTCTATCGCACATTGGAGGATCAATTCGCTCCCAACTCTTGCATTTACACCATCCTTATACACAGTTAACATTATATTTATAAATATAACCATATAAGATACAATTGACATTTACGTACACAACATTGAAGGTAAATATCATTCACTTTTTCATTACACTTCCAAAATCTTCTTCCCGAGTTGCTGTCAATCCATGCAGTCATATTTCTCATTTCATTTCCACAATTACATGTGAAAACTTCTAACCAATCACCAAAATATTCAATTCTTCTAGATGAGGCCGACGATGAATGATTCCCATAGCTATCAAATCCAAAGAGATTAAATTTTATTTAAAAAAGCTAGGGTTGCAGAACAAAATAAAAAAAGATATCAAGTTGGCAAGTTCGCAAAGCATAGAAAAAAAGCTAAGGTTGAAAACAAAAAAATAAATAAACAGGTAGGGTTGCAACGGAGTTCATAAATTTTGACTTTATCCTCTATCGAGAAACCATTCTTGAAATTAACAAAAACATATTTAAATAATTCACATAAGCTTTACATTACAAATTAAAATAAAGAAACGTAGACTGTTAGAATTACAAGAAAATACCTTCGTTGACCCATTCTCATGTGCGAGTTCATAGCCCCAATTCTTCGATGGTCTTGCCCTAGCTCTCAATCGGCGTGTTGGATTTGCGTAAAGGTGACCAAAGCTGTAAAGGTGACCAAAGCTGCGTATATATGGCGTCAATAAGAGTGTAGAGTAAAAGTACGTTATTAGCCATTCGTTTAACAGCGCTAGAATGGGAAGAATGACGGAGTACCATTTGTTGAATGGTACCCAAACAATAAAGACTAAAAACTTAACAATTGATAAACGAGAACTAAATATGAAAATCCTTCAATTATAAAAGACCATTTAAAAGGTTTACTCTTAAATGCAGTTGATACTTATGTACTATCTAATTTTTATTATTATGCAAATAAACTACATTTAGACATAAAATTTAACCATATTACTATCTAAGTCCAAAAAATAATAATATCGTACTGGAACCATCACCACCGACTGCCGGGCACGTGGGGCGGTTCCAAAACCAAAACAGACCGGAACCGTACTGTTTCCGGGTCTAGTAGCAATTTACACATGCTAAACTGTCGAGTCGAAATATTCATGCCTTTTGAGCTGATGCACGTAAAGCCTAAATAAAGGAGCCTTGTAACAATAAAATGAGCATATTTTGAGGATTTAGTTGTTGCCGTCATCTCTTTTTTATGTATATTTTAATCCCTTATGATCAGACATGAAAGGCTTAGACCATATGTTGTTATACACACAAAAAACCAATGCCTTTTTTGGGCAATGCCGTGCCAAGCGAGTAAGAAATGGACTAGAGAATTTGGTAAACAAGAGGGTAATATAAGCATAAAAAACAGATGAAAAAAACACAAATAAAAAGGGGAAACCAATTCATCAAGAGCAGAGATAGAAATTGGGATAACCTAATGTTTTACCAGTGGCTAAACAAATATAGCAATATAATTAAATAATTCATTGTCAAGTTCATCATCACTGCTTGAACAAAATAATGGACAACAAAGACGAGTTATTTTTGCTACAAAGCATTTGCTTCAAAACCACTAAAAACCCCTCTACAATGAACTAAAAATAGCAACATATATCACACTATAATACTTTGCCAACACAAATAAATCCAATGAATCTAGAGTTTGCCAACCCACAAGAAACTCCGACCCGCAAAACCGACCGAATGACCGACCATATAAATTTAACGACCAACGAAACTGTATAAAGAAAACAACTTATGTAGTTACGTTTTCTCAGACAACGACCATTATGTAGTTACCATTTTTTAAAAGCCACCGTGAACTCGGCCCGATCTCCGTTGTCATCTACATGGTGTATGGTATGTGGGCCCAGGCACGACGACGACCAAAAGACCGAAACGCCCTCCGCATCATCGTCAGCATTTATAATGGCCAGTCTTGGGACGCTTCATTCCACTAGTGTTGAAAGGCGACACGCTGCCACTTGGTCCGGGACTCCCTTCCCGGGAATTAGAATTCAGCAATGCTAATTCTCGCAATTGCTGTCTCTTTATATAATCTTGTGATTCATCCTACAAAGCACAGTTTATGGGGAGCACACTTTTGAGCTCTATGAAATTGCATGATAATAAAAAAAATGCAAAGGGGAAAAAAATACTTACCACGGGCTTTAGCAATTCTGCAATAATCTCTTGAGCTTGTCTGAGTCTAATGTCAATGATGTTGGCAGGTAAATCGGCCTCAATCAAAATATGGAGTGGTTCATTCAGATGTTCATAACCTGGTCGCCCTCGTAATTTTTCCTCCTACACGTTACATTTCACACACGATTCATCATTGCCCAAAGTGAGGATGATTAAAACTCCAAACCCAAAAAAAAGCTTGCTTTTTTAAAGGATAGAATTGTACAAATACTTGCCCGTACCACAGAACATTGCCCAAAGCAAAAGAGTTAAAAAAAAGGTACTATTTTTAATTTAAAAAAAAAACTTTGGTGGACTGGTAAACAGAGTGATTAGAATTGCTACCTTGTCTGGGTCTTTTATAGAACCTTTTCCTCTAATATATACACGGCAGCCTGTAGTGACTTCCACACGCTTCAGAGAATTTCCTCTGGGGCCAAGTAGTCGTCCTACGAAATTGAACTATAATCCACAAAGTTTATTCAGTAACTAATAAGCCATGATTTCCATTTTCACAACCAAAAAAAATAGAGAGGAAAAATAGGACATACATTTGGGTAAGTATCAACTGGGATGTCTAATCGCAATATCTTTTTCATGGTATATGAACTAGGACTTGCCGGTGCACCTTGCCAATCCATTGACATTCCAGGAGGTCCACTTAACCTCTGCCACATGTTCAAACAGAATGCCATGTTACATGAATGAAGGATACAAAAAAACACTCATAATAAAGGATTACCCTTAACCCATAATTCAGCACATTCTTTTAACCAGTTAACAGGAAAATGCATCGTCCTTCTGAACATTATTATACTGAGCTAATATAAGTGATTAGTGAGACGGTTAAGGTTGAAGCACGAAAACAAAGATATATTTTTTTGTTGAACTTGAATATATTCAAATGTTTCCTTCTAATTCTCCTCTCCTTTTCCCTGCATATTTTCATTCCCTACCATTTGCTAGATTCCAAACAGGGTATTATAGAAGTTTTATACGGAAAAATAAGCTAACAGTATCCCTCTATCCATTCAACTCTCTGAAGTCTAAACCCATAAATGGCGCACTCTAAGGCCATGTTCTCTTCAACTTATTATTACTTATTACTTTTTCTAATTGGAACCAGATCAGATCATAAACAACTTTAAATATAACTACATTGAGATCAGATCAAATCAGATCGTTTTCCAATCAAATAAGAACCATTCAGATTAGGTGAAGAGAACATGGCCTAATTCAATGCTCCAGCTTTGATCTAAGCAGTCTCTTTGTTCTTCTCATTACAGGTAACCATAATTTAGGTGTTCACAAACATAAGAACAAAGCAATAAACATTTGTAAAATCAAGATTAAAATAATACAACGGCTAGAATACCCATGATAAAGTTTTAAAAAAACCATGTACTCTGAAACTTTTATGAACAGAGAGAATGGTAATGTAATGAAAAAAGTATATCTAAAGCAACAAGTACAAAAAAAACAGAGGGAATAACTCACATTCATGCAATAGAGTAACCAAACAAAAAAATATACAATAGCTTGAAAATATCATTCAAAATATTGAAAGCTATATTTAACTCTACCGAAGGCAAGACAAGCAGTTTGCTTGACGTTTATAATAACCCAATTGTCGTAAAAAAGAACATCTCAAAAGCAAACTAAAAGGTCCGTGGAAATAATAATGAACCAGAGGGCATTGAGAATTTGAGAAGGTCAAAGTAAAAAATTATAACTCAAGTGTAATTTGGAATTCTGCTAGTGGTCTATCCAAAAACAAGAAACATATTGATGTCTCCTAATGGATTGAAAGATGGAGCAAGAGAGCAAATAGTCTAGAGAGAGAAAGAGTGGTCTCATTGAGTGATTACATATCAGATCCCTGCTAGGAAGGGTACATATAGAGATACAAAATGGGGCAGAGCCCATGGGCTAGCTAGAATGTGGATGAGGCCCACACAGCTTGTCCAGTCAAGATAAGAGAAATATACCTATACTGCTACGCACGAATGCCTGTAGAAGGCCAACCCGAGCGTGGCAGCTGAGCTAAGGGAAGGAGATCAACATGGATGACCTCATTGAACCTATAGAGTTGGGCCTTCAACCCTTCATTTGTTTCCATTCACTCTTATGCTGGAATCCTCCAATCCCAATGCCTTGGTTATTTTCCAAAGCCCATTCATGACAGGCCCTAAGAGCCAGACCATCGCACATAGTACTTTGAGGATGGAAAATGTAATCTCATTTTGTACCATTGTTGACATACTTATCTCACTTAGCAAAAACCCAAGTCTATTTTGTGAATCAAATTATGATGTGATGTATTGACATCATTTGTCGCCCATTGCCAAAGGAGCTAAAAGAGTCCAACAATGGTTTTGTTTTGGGCACATAATGAACCAAATCAAAATGACACATTAAACTTCCGTTGCTTCTTACTTCCTACGAAATGTGGGAAAGTAAATGCAATAATAAATCTAGGGTCTAACGGAAACTCTCTCTATTTTTTAGGGGTAAGACTGCATTCTAGACCCCAAACCCCAAAGCAATTGGGATTATATTGGATCGTCGTCCATAAAAAGGAGCCTTACATTCTATATTTCAGCGCAAAATATGCAGCCAACCCACGAAAATGCTATTCATGCATGCATATTCAATAGATAATAAAAAGTGAAGAATAAGACTAGCACATGAGATACCTCCTGATGAAGAAGTCCATTCCAACCACCACCCAACCCTCCAGCACCGGCAACATTTGACATAAGATTTGAGGAAGCCATAGGACTAGGGCTCCTATGCCTCAGTCTATCCAGTTCCCCAAAACCTTGGCTCGGCAGCCTTCCAGAAAGCCTCAGAATTTCTGGGGG